CAGCACACTCTCATACAAACAGCACCCTGACAAACACACAACACCCGCACACAAACAGCACACTAACAGGACCCGAACAAACACGCACACACAAACACCCTCTCACACACACACACAGCACACTACCAGTTCCCTCACACACAGCACACAAACAGCACCCTCACACACAGCACACTAACAGCACTCTCACAAACACACACAAAAACACCCTCACCCACATAGCACACTACCAGTGTATATATATATATATATATATGTATATATATATATATATACACATACATATACATATACACATGGTGTGTGTTTGTGCTTTAGGGTGCACACCCTAATGTAATAGGCTGCTCCCCCCCCCGGCTCACTCCCCTAATCTACAGGCTGCTGCCCCCCCCCAAATCTATAGGCTGCTGCCCCCCATAATCTATAGGCTGCTGCCCCCCCTAATCTATAGGCTGCTGCCCCCCTAATCTATAGGCTATCTCAAACCCCCCACCCCATCCCACACTTACCTGATCTGTAGGCTGTCTCTGGCTGCATGTGTTGCTCCCCTGCGGTTTCAATCAGCAGAGAGAAGCAGGGATAAGATGCAGCTTCCTATCCCTGTCTCTCTCCATACACAGCGCCACCTACTGGCCGGCGCCGGTATTGCAGTTCATTTTAAATCTCACACGAAAAATAGCAGAACAAGCTGAAAAATCTAGGGGGGGGCAAGTGCCCCCCCTTGCCCCCCCCTGCGGACGCCCATGGCCATCCACCTGATCTAAAATAAAATATGATTAATCAAACCAGGTAATCTTTTTCCAATGCTTCATGGTGCAGATCTGAAGCTCTCTTCCCCTTTTAAGGTTCTTTTGGCAGTGGACAGGGGTAATCATGTGGTGACCCTTGTGGTTATGCAGCAAACTGCAATGCACGGTGTATTCTGAAACCTTTCTATCATATCCATCATTAACTTTTGGTTTTTTTTTATTTTATTTTTTTTAGCAGTTTGAGCTACAGTAGCTCTTCTGTGTGGTTGGACCTGACATACAAGCCTTCGCACCCCAAGTGAACTTGACACTGGTTCACAAATTTTGCTTCCTTGTACCACTTTTGGTAGGTACTAGCCACTCTATACTGGGAACGCTACAAAACTTGCCATTTTAGAGATGCACTGACCGAGTAGTCTAGCCACCAATATTTGACTCTTGTCATTTAGATATTTTTGCTTGCCTATTTTCCAGTTTTCCTGCTTCCAACACATTAAATTCAAGGACTTACTGACTGTTCACTTGCTGCCTAATATACCCCACCCCGTTAAATGTGCCATTGTAACTATATAATCAATGTTATTCACCTCACATGTCAGTGGTTTTAATGCTCTGGCTGTTCAGTGTATATAGAGACTGACTTTTTGTTTCCAAAAAGTCTTATAATAATACATATGTTTTATATAATACAGCATGAAAAGGGAAGAATACATTGAACTCAAGAGCTATGGTATCCAAGATTAACCCTCCTATCATTAAGCCCATCATATAAAATAAATATGTCTCTGTCTCAATGAAAAGCCTCTTATTGGTCATTTTCTCGCCACAGACTGAAAGTCTATACTGTACATGGGAAAGGACTTGCTTTTGCTGGAGACATAAGAACTGCAGCTTTTGCACATTTTTATTATATATACTCTTATTATAACTAAATGCATACATGCTCTCATTGGGGGTATAGCTACAAATATTTTTTTGTGTGATTTTTCAAAATAATGGGAACAAAATGTGTCCTAAATAATTTTAAATAATCAATTACATTTGGCACAATGATAAATTCTACATCAAGATTCTTGGTATGTGAATAGAACAAGTTTGCCCTCCACAGAAAAGTATGAGTGTATATTTAAAAGAAGAAAAAACTACCACAACAAGAGGACATAGTCTTAAACTAGAGAGGCAAGGGTTTACAAATAATATCAGGAAGTGTTATTTTACTGAGAAGGTAGTGGATGCATGGAATAGCCTTCCAGCTGAAGTTGTACAGGTTAACACAGTGAGGGAGTTTAAACACGCGTGGCATAGGCATAAGGCTATCCTAGCTATAAGATAAGGCTAGGGACTAATAAAAGTATTTAGAAACTTGGCCAGACCAATGGGCTGAATGGTTCTTATCTGCTGTCACAGTCTACGTTTAGTTATGCCAATTTATTCATGTAACATTGGGAGATTTTACACATATTTCCTAAGCATGGCTGGCAAGCAAAATCGTTACATTCCACAGTAATATTAACAATACAAAACAAATTCCAGTTGAGCTATAGTCATAGCTTGGCTATTTTGCGGGATAAAACTTACCAGGAAAGGTTAAAGGATCTTAACATGTATAGCTTGGAGGAAAGACGAGACAGGGGGGATATGATAGAAACATTTAAATATATAAAGGGAATCAACACAGTAAAGGAGGAGACTATATTTAAAAGAAGAAAAACTACCACAACAAGAGGACATAGTCTTAAATTAGAGGGACAAAGGTTTAAAAATAATATCAGGAAGTATTACTTTACTGAGAGGGTAGTGGATGCATGGAATAGCCTTCCAGCTGAAGTGGTAGAGGTTAACACAGTAAAGGAGTTTAAGCATGCATGGGATAGGCATAAGGCTATCCTAACTATAAGATAAGGCTAGGGACTAATGAAAGTTTTTAGAAAATTGGGCAGACTAGATGGGCCGAATGGTTCTTATCTGCCGTCACATTCTATGTTTCTATGTTTCTATGTCTATTTTCGCATAAATGTTGCAATTCAGTTTTGAATTCACAACAATTCTGCATTTGGGGGAGGGCTTTTTGTTCTCTATAAGTAGAACCAAATTTTCATTCTGTGATATGTCAGAGTGGAAATAAATATTTGTTTATAATGTTAAAAATTAAAAGCATTAAAAAACAAAACAAAAACAAGGCTTCCTCTTTCTACATTTCTTTTTTTGTCTTAAAATGGAGAAGTGTGGACATATTTTCAGACACATAAGTTTAGCTCCCATGATGTTTTTGTCATTCTATTTATTCCATATAAATGTAGCAATCCTATCATAAGGCATTTTTTACTAAGAAGACATGTTACATGATCAAACAAGTCCTTTTTAGATGTGTCCTTTCCCAGAAGAAAAGTTGGCATAACTCCCCTGAAACAAGTTACAAGAGGGCATTTTGTAAAAGGTTGGAATGTCCCATTAGTGACGTCTCATATGAAACAGCAAGGTGAAAGGTTTAAATTTAAACTCACTTTGAATTCTCTGTAATAAATAATCCTGTACACGTCTTGGAAGAAGTTTAGTACTGTTCCAATTAATGGTAAATATCTATGTATTCATAGGGAGAGCAGCACTTTTATTGCTGCTCTCCCTGTGGAGCTGAACTGGAAGAGTTCTCCAAGTCTGGTATGCTTCCAGTTTGGCAATTTTGGCCTTAAATCTGAAACTCACTTTAAATTCTCACTTTAATCAATAAACAGTCAATTAGTTCTGTTACTTAGTCAGCCTTAGTAGCTTGGCTATGGAAGTAATGTAATTGTGAAGAGAGTGAGATAGTATATGGCATTCAATTATATATCTTTAAAATTGCCAGGATATTACTCAGTAATAAAATTATCAGATAGGTTCTACTACTGTTAATAATCCAAGGAGAATAAATATATTACCAACCGAATAGTCTTCAACATGTATTTCCCACTCCTAGATATATTTGTATTACTCACCAACATTCCACAATGCCTTCCCTTAGAGACATTTGAACCCTTTGTGTATGTACAAATTCTGCTTTTACAATAAAGTCCTCTTCTTAAAGGGTTACTCACAAAACCAAAACCACATCAGTGATTTGAAGTCATCACTATGCCTGGAGTCTGTATGTGCAGCATTAGCCAGCCCAAAACAAGAGTTTGTTCAAAATCCATGCAACAACTTTCTGCACTAAGTATTTTCAGAGGAAGGTGTCAGGATTGCAAAGCTGCACGTTTAAAAGAAATTATCTTTATTGATTTTTAATTAACTAAACTAGATCATATGTATGGGGAGAGCGTCTAATAAAAATAAAATTTGTGCTTCTTAAACCTATTATTATTTAATATAGGAAATCTTAAAATTATTTTTCCCAACAAGTATTTTAAAAACAAGTGCATTTCTCTCTGCCTTCATTCACATGATAACTCGGCATACCTTACTATTGATTTCGTCTCCCTATTGGTTCTTCAGCGATTGTCTCTTGTATATTCCATTAGCCCCTCCTATAAGTTTCAGTACCCACCAGTATTCATGACTTAATGTCTTGGCAATATCCACATTTGCCTCAATATCTGCGGCTTTCCATAATCTCGTCATGTTCCCCCACACCCTATTTCAAAGTCTTTCAGCACACCACTCACTACCAGGATCCCAATTGAAGATGTTTAATAGTAAAGGCAATTGCAAAGAAGTAGCCTTTGTAGAGGCATTGGTGTGCTTAAAAAAGTTAGCAAACAGACCATAGATAATAGTGATTGATATCAGCTTGTGAGAGCAGTGGAAACATCACTGCTCAAGAGCCAGGAAACCCAGGTTTGAATGCCAGCCTACCTCAAATCCTTCTAGATTGTAAGCTGTTTGAGAAGAGCCATCTACACCTCCAAATGTCCACTTTCTATACTTGTAAAGCTCTATGGAATATGTTGGCGTTATATAAATGCTAATAATAATCTTTTAGTTGGTAAAATCAGTGTTTCCCAACTTAATCATCAATGTACACTAACAGTCTAGGTTTTGTCAGTATCCCTATTGGAACAGAACTGGGAAATGACAAACATCTGGACTGTTAGTGTACTTAGACTGGGTTGGGAACCTCTGTGTTAGAGAATAACTTTTAAAATATATATATGTTTTTTAGGAGCGTTACAATGTTTTTAAAACGTGTTTGGTTTTTTTGTACACCCAACAAAATACATAGCTGTTAATGGTGACCAGCTTTAGCAATACTACAGAGGAAATTAAAGTACAGGCCATTTTTAAAAAATCTGTTTATTTATATGTAGTGTAGTACAAGGGGGGGTGACATTTTTTGTTATACTTCAATCCAGCTATGAAGGCAAAAATGGATTTGCAATTGTGTTTCCATCTCAGTATATACGGTTGAGGAACCTTTTGCAGTTAAAGTATTAAAGTATTGCCATTACCAGGATATTTCTTTGCAAAAGGTTCTTGGTAGAGGAAAACAAACTAACACATGCAGTGTGATCAACATAGAGTCATTCAGAGGAGTTTGAAACAAAAATTAACTCATACAGGATGTGGACTTTGAATCAGCAGCATGTTTCCCAGCAGAGCTGAGTAAGACCGTTCTCATATTCTCCTCCATTTTGAACTCTGCACGTCCCCCATCCCACGTCTTCCCAGGAAGTTACATAATGATTAGGCTCCAGGAAGAAGTGAAAGAATTAAAAGTCAAACAGCAAAACTCAAAAATAGGTATGAACAGAAATATATGATCAAACGCCTCCAAATTAAAAATATATTTTCCTGGTTATCCAGACGTTGCCATTTTGTTGTTACAGTCTTTTATAATCCAATTCATAGAACTGCAGAAAAAAGGTAGACATTTCTATCTAAAACATACAAAAAATGGTCCGTATAGAAGTTTCTTCTATTTGCTGACTGTATTATACATCCTTGGTGCTCTTTTCAGCCTCTATAACTTTAGCTAAACAGAGAAGAAAACCAAAAAAAGAGAAATAATTAATGTAGTCAACTGGGACACTCCTCTGGGAATTTAGACATTGTTGGGGATAATTTTAATTACAGCTTTCTAGAAATTACAGGAAGAAAATAAATAATACATAGGGAAACTTTTTTTCTCTCCAGTTGTAGTATTAATGAAAAAGCACATGCAAAACATTGTACATAAAAAAATTACCATGTTGTATCGGTCTCCTGTTTTACATCAGACGTATCTATAGGAAAGAAGAAAATAAGTAGGCTTATGATCACTTAATACAATATAATAATAAAAACAAGGACAATTTATCATTCCAGTTGAAAAGTGTAAAAATAAAATGCTAACTTGGGTTTACAGATTATATAGTTAGAAAAGGTAAAAGGTAGCCATTCATTTGCTAACTCCCCAAAAAACTAACTAGGAGGGTCAAAAAGAGAGGCCATGCTTCCTAAACAGACAGCTTTGTGGAATGTGTTAGCAAGGAAGTAGAATGTGTCGCAGCTTGATGCAACTTAAACCCTTTCTAAATGGCAAGTGTGATGGAACTTTTCTGATTACAACCAAGACATAATTGTGTGGGAGAACTATGCACAACCTATGTGCGATCTTACCTCCAATTAGGATTAGGTTATCCAAAGGATTCTACAGTACAGAATATGTGGAGGGTTTACTGTAATAATCATGGTTAACTGATAATTAGAGACATGCTAAGTTTAGTGAAGTACACAAGGAAATGATCTACCGTTCTTTAAAAATATTAAATAAAATATAACAACAAATAATCATGATCCTTCACTCTAGAAGAGTGTTACTAAACAACTGTGGGATAATTCACTAAGCTAATAATTGTAGATACTTAAACAAGCAAACATATTTTAAACCAAATTAACAAAAATTGCATTCAATATTTTTCATACATATTAAACAATACAAATTGCATTTTTATACATTTGATACCTTCTTTCACAGATTCTTCTTCTTCTTGGTTCTTCTTGTCTTTTCCTAAGAATTTAGATAGAACATTTTATTAGCAATATCAAATAATCTCAAACCTCAAATTATGAGGATAAAAAAAAAAAAAAATTTTTTTAGCATGTATTTTAAAACAAATAAAGCTGTGTTATTTCAACTACCTTTCCCTGGAAAACTGAAAAAAGCAACGATGGTTCTAAATCCTTAATCACCTGTTCGTTTGATTATGATAAAAGGACTTTAATATACTACATATGTATAGAGTCAAAAATGGGTCGCAAGAGAATACTGAGGACGGGCAGCAGCTGAAATAGCCTGCCCTTCGGTCGGTCCCCGCTCAGTTCTCAAGCTGATTTTTGCTCATCTTGTGCCATTACAGAGAGAACATATCTGAAGCATATCAGACTGTTTAAAGGGATAATCCAGACGTGGAGCCCTTGCTCACGGTGCCTAGGGAGATATCAGCTATGCCTCACTGACGATGCCTAACAAGGCTGAAACGATCGTCTGGGGTTGCTGTGTCTCTCGTGCAGAGAGAACTTGCTGGCATTTCGGATCTGGACTGCCTGTATGGGTGGGACCAGTCTGATATGCTTCAGATATGTTCTCTCTGTAATGGCACAAGATGAGCAAAAAATCAGCTTGAGAACTGAGTGGGGACCGACCGAAGGGCAGGCTATTTCAGCTGCTGCCCGTCCTCAGTATTCTCTTGCGACCCATTTTTGACTCTCCACAGTTTAAAGGATAATCCAGACGTGGACCCCTTGCTCACGGTGCCTAGAGAGATATCAGCTATGCCTCACTGACGATGCCTAACAAGGCTGAAACGATCGTCTGGGGTTGCTGTATCTCTCGTGCAGAGAGAACTTGCTGGCATTTCGGATCTGGACTGCCCGTATGGGTGGGACCAGTCTGATATGCTTCAGATATGTTCTCTCTGTAATGGCACGAGATGAGTTAAACCCAGCTTGAGTTCTGAGCGGGGACCCACCGAAGGGCAGGCTATTTTAGCTGCTGTCAGTTCTCAGAATACTCTAGCGACCCATTTTTTGCTCTCCATTAGTGTAAAGGGTAATCCAGACGTGGACCCCTTGCTCACGGTGCCTAGAGAGATATCAGCTATGCCTCACTGACGATGCCTAACAAGGCTGAAGCGATCGTCTGGGGTTGCTGTATCTCTCGTGCAGAGAGAACTTGCTGGCATTTCGGGTCTGGACTGCCCGTATGGGTGGGACCAGTCTGATATGCTTCAGATATGTTCTCTCTGTAATGGCACAAGTTGAGCTAACACCAGCATGAGTTCTGAGCGGGGACCCACCGAAGGGCAGGCTATTTTATAAGCTGCTGCCGTCCTCGGTATTCTCTTGCGACCCATTTTTGCTCTCCATTAGTTTAAAGGGTAATCCAGACGTGGAGCCCTTGCTCACGGTGCCTAGAGAGATACCAGCTATGCCTCACTGATGATGCCTAACAAGGCTGAAACGATCGTCTGGGGTTGCTGTATCTCTCGTGCAGAGAGAACTTGCTGGCATTTCGGATCTGGACTGCCCGTATGGGTGGGACCAGTCTGATATGCTTCAGATATGTTCTCTCTGTAATGGCACAAGATGAGCAAAAAATCAGCTTGAGAACTGAGCGGGGACCCACCGAAGGGCAGGCTATTTCAGCTGCTGCCCGTTCTCAGTATTCTCTTGCGACCCATTTTTGACTCTCCACAAGTTTAAAGGGATAATCCAGACGTGGACCCCTTGCTCACGGTGCCTAGGGAGATATCAGCTATGTCTCACTGACGATGCCTAACAAGGCTGAAACGATCGTCTGGGGTTGCTGTGTCTCTCGTGCAGAGAGAACTTGCTGGCATTTCGGATCTGGACTGCCTGTATGGGTGGGACCAGTCTGATATGCTTCAGATATGTTCTCTCTGTAATGGCACAAGATGAGCAAAAATCAGCTTGAGAACTGAGCGGGGACCGACCGAAGGGCAGGCTATTTCAGCTGCTGCCCGTCCTCAGTATTCTCTTGCCACCCATTTTTGACTCTCTACAAGTTTAAAGGGATAATCCAGACATGGACCCCTTGCTCACGGTGCCTAGGGAGATATCAGCTATGCCTCACTGATGATGCCTAACAAGGCTGAAACGATCGTCTGGGGTTGCTGTGTCTCTCGTGCAGAGAGAACTTGCTGGCATTTCGGATCTGGACTGCCCGTATGGGTGGGACCAGTCTGATATGCTTCAGATATGTTCTCTCTGTAATGGCACAAGATGAGCAAAAATCAGCTTGAGAACTGAGCGGGGACCAACCGAAGGGCAGGCTATTTCAGCTGCTGCCCGTCCTCAGTATTCTCTTGCGACCCATTTTTGATTCTCTACAAGCTTAAAGGGATAATCCAGACGTGGACCCCTTGCTCACGGTGCCTAGGGAGATATCAGCTATGCCTCACTGATGATGCCTAACAAGGCTGAAACGATCGTCTGGGGTTGCTGTGTCTCTCGTGCAGAGAGAACTTGCTGGCATTTCGGATCTGGACTGCCCGTATGGGTGGGACCAGTCTGATATGCTTCAGATATGTTCTCTGTAATGGCACAAGATGAGCAAAAATCAGCTTGAGAACTGAGCGGGGACCGACCGAAGGGCAGGCTATTTCAGCTGCTGCCCGTTCTCAGTATTCTCTTGCGACCCATTTTTGACTCTCCACAAGTTTAAAGGGATAATCCAGACGTGGACCCCTTGCTCACGGTGCCTAGGGAGATATCAGCTAAGCCTCACTGATGATGCCTAACAAGGCTGAAACAATCGTCTGGGGTTGCTGTGTCTCTCGTGCAGAGAGAACTTGCTGGCATTTCGGATCTGGACTGCCTGTATGGGTGGGACCAGTCTGATATGCTTCAGATATGTTCTCTCTGTAATGGCACAAGATGAGCAAAAAATCAGCTTGAGAACTGAGTGGGGACCGACCGAAGGGCAGGCTATTTCAGCTGCTGCCCGTCCTCAGTATTCTCTTGCGACCCATTTTTGACTCTACATATGTATATGTACATATTTCTCCATATTCGGTTATTAGCATTCTTTTTTGCGATAAAAAAAATAAAAAATAACCCACCCAATTGTATAAATTCTTTATTTTTGTTGTGCAGATATAATAAACAAGCTTGCCTTGCAACAATAGCATCAACAAGCAGAATAATGACAGAGTATAAATCTTTAGTGTGGCATCAAATACAGCAAAGTTTTTGTATTATTAGTAAAGAAAATAAAAAGTGGCTATATAAATCATGGTTAGGTTACCACTGGTGCCATCTATTAAGAAAAACAAATGTGAGCTAAACAGACTTGTGGTCAGCAAAAGTGCAAAGGTGGGTGGATGATGGTTCAGGGAACACTGTCCAGCATGAGACCTGAGGCCTAAAGGGAGTAGTAGCCCGATCCTGCTCTTAAAAAAATTGGGTCTTTTGAAGAAAATCTATTTAATCTAAAGAACATTTATTTTAAAATACAGACCCCCGATTTAAACAAAAAAAAACAAAAAATCTAAAAACATGAGGAATTAAATTGAATAAAGTTCAAGAAAGAACATTCCATTGTTTTCAAAAGTGGCGGAACTATCACCAGTGCAATTGCACAGTGGCCCATGCACTTAGAGGCCACCAAGTAGGTATAAGTCAGCAGTGGCCCGGTTGGGCGCTGTGGCCCCTTAACAACCCAACAGGTTTCCTTCTTATCAGCAGTCTTGAAGGATGTGAGAGCCTGTCACTTCCTCCCAGATAGCAGAGACGCGAAGCAGGGCAGGACAGGGCAAAGAGCAGGGGGCGCAGACTGGGAGAACCAGTCCTTAATTGCAACAATCTCAGCCTGCACACTGGACATCAGGAAAGCCACCCTCCTGCACCAAAAGGTAGGAAACTGGAGGATTGCAATAAAAGTGTAAATTTTGACCAGCATGTGTGTCAGTGTGTGTGTGTATCTGTATGTCTGTATGTCTGTATTTGTATGTGTGTATATGCATCTGGATCAATAACTTGTGATCTTGCATTGACAGCACGTATTTCTGCCATGGTGTTTATTTTAGCTTTTATGGTGATTACAGTGTTGTATTGCAAAAACTTTAAACACTCACCAGATTCTGTAGATGGTCCAGAATCACTTTCATCAGTTACTTCTGAAATAGAACATGATTCCTTCATTGTTATCTTATGACATTTATGTGGTGACAAATAAAAAGAGGATGTTACACCCACCCAATATTTTTAGAATTACATAACCCTCTAAACGATACAAAACTGGCATTGCAAAACAGGGTGCCGGCTTTAAAAAAAAAAAACATTTTAGAAAGACTTCACAATGGTTCCAGTAATAGCGTCTGCAGACAGTTTTCCATTTAAATGGATACGTGCAAGGTGCTTTAACCTGAAGCTGTTCACAACTAACCACAGTTCCTAAAACCTCCCCATGAGTGTTAAAACAATGATCCAAGCACCATAACCATGCAAGGAGATCCCCTGTCTAAGTCTACATGTACACAATTCAGTTTACAAATTCTACTAATTGAAAACTGCAGCAATATAAAAAAAAATTTAAGAAAGAAAACACACACTGTACACTTTAATAGTATAAAAAAAACACTTCTGAAACTTAACTGCTAAGGGATGGCTGGGATATTCCAGGGCTTAACCATATAGTGTAAAAAAGGAGAAAAAATATGGCACTTCTCATATGAGAATAGACACCTGGATATTAAACAATATAGATGCTAAATAACCATAAATGAACTAAGAGTAGAAAGTGATGACCTTTGAAAAGATACAAAAAGATATATATCTACAAGACTTATAGGGCTTTTCCTATGCCATCATTAAACAATATTAGAAAGACATCGTAGGTTTATGGATATAGTGAATATATTTAAAAAAAAAAAAAAGCTTTCTTGTAAACTTATCAATAGAGACCTATACCATCCTACTTTCGTCAAAAAACTCAGAAGCAAAAAAAAAAAAAAAGGTGTGGGAATCACCCTAAGGCTGAATTAAATTCACATTGAATAGATCTAAAGTAGATCCAGCAAATAGAAAAGGATAGAGAAAGCCTGTCTCCCTGGTAATCTTGCTAAATAGGCATAAGAAGAATAGAAATAGATAAACAGGCTAAATTAAGCCATGGAAAATCATAATATTGTGAAGAATTAAACCCCCCCCCCCCAAAAAAAATAAAAAAATTGTAGTGGAGTGAATCAAAATCCCATAGCAAAAAAGAAAAAGCCAGACGCGCGTTTCGGTGCCAAACAAGTTGCACCTTCATCAGTATTTTTTGTACATGATATATATATATATATATATATATATATCTATCACTAAAGTGTACTTTTAAGAATCCAGTTTGCAGACCTTCTACATTTCTCCAAGTACCAAGTACTTAGGGGGCACTTTATACAGAGTCTGATACGGCTCTGGATTATGTGAGTGGGCTTCATTCCTACGTCTTTCTTTTTCCCCATTTTTGAATTATTTATCACACTAGATTTGTTTTTCTGTATTGTATTTTTATGTAGAAACATTCTCTTTTATACTATATGTGGATCTACCGTAAAAAAACTGAAGGTTTATAAGGGGGAACTGTTATTATTTATATATTTAATTGTGACAGGCCACCCTGTCACTTGAATATTTTAATTCTCTTTTATTCCCTGCTTTGTTCAGTTAAAAATACTTTTTCCCTGTTTTGTTCGGTAACCAGTATGTTCATTAACCTCATTCATCCCTGTTAACACTTCAATCATGATTCACACCTCAGTGTTCTAAACGGTTGGCTGGGTGGCCGCCATTCGTATGGACGAACACCTGGTGGTGGCCATCTTGTTTGCGTGAACGCAGGCGGTGATGTTTGGTCGTTGAGTGCATGGAACTAAAATCATGACACTCGACCTCGCGAACACAGCTGAACTTCCATTCCCGTCTGCATCGTTTCTATATCTCCTGGAAGAGCCTTAACGGCGAGGGACATACATAGAGTATCATGCTGGTCTAACAAATATGAGACGACATGCGTTAAGATTTACTTGACCTTACCAGCTATGCTCTTTTCATTTATTTATTTAAATTTTATTTTTTTATTTATCTTTTAACTTAGTTGGGAGATCGCTTTCTACCATACTTAACTAGTCCCACGAGATGGACTTACAGCTATCTCACTAAGACGACTAGATATTCACAAGGGAAGGGAGGAGGGTATTAGATTTTGTTAAGGGGTGTCCTCGAAGGCACAACAGAGTAGGGAATTTTATCTGCAGATGACTGTTTTGTTCCCTATCTGATAAATGATACAATTCTCCCCCTGGACAAACAAGATACAATTGCAACATTGACATCTTGTTACATTTTGGTAACATACAATTCTGTATGGTGCGATGATTTAATCATTTCCATCTTGTATATAATTGTTCTCCTTTTTTCTTTTTTTGTCTGAGGTATTTATATATATATTTTAGGAATATTTTAATAAATATATTAAAAGTGACGTTTTATTATTATTATTATTATTTGGGTTACTCATTGCTATAAAAGGGTTTACCTCCTAAACGGTTTACCCAGGTGTTCTTTGCTTTGTCATATAATTTATTCTGGGGGTTACTCCCCCTCTTCTCATAAGAGTAACCAGACACCTTTTCCCTAGAAGGTCACTTAGTTTGTAACCCTATTCGGTGGAATCATCCTCACGAATGAGGTGAACACCATCTGAATACCGGCTCAAGCAGACGTTTAGTATTTTCTGTGTTTTCGTACTCCCGAAAGAGACCAACCACTATCGCTGATTCTATAGAACTGTTTTAGGCAGGAGCCCTGTGTGCGGTCGGTCAAAACTTTACCCCGGTGGCGTTTCAACTGTATTTGAGGGATCTGAGCGCTTTTCAGAAATGCTGTGCGCTCAGATCCAGGCTATCCGGGGATATAAGACTTGAGGGGGTACACTGTTGTTTTATGTATGTTTTAGGGTGTCAATTTTTTTTAGATTTTTCTGTACCTGAGAGATAATTTAATTATATCTTTTTTTCCCAGGTAATTATCTCTCAGGCACAAAGGATCATGGGAAGGATTACCCTGTAATGTTGTGTAGGAAACCCCATGTAGGAGCTTTTGCATAAAAAGCTGTGTGTGGCCCTGAATAAAACAGTTCATTCCCAGCATTCAGTCTCAACTAAGGTTTGTGGGGGAAAGCTATGCCTGCTTTAGATTATTACTACTTGGGGAATTCTACTCTTTCTTGCTACTAGCCTTGGAATTGTTGCAGCAAAGTTCTAGAAGGAGGGAAAAAGACATTCTTGGCTGCGAAACCAGTGTTCCTATCCGGGTGGCCGCCACATTCATACAATGTGATGATTCAGTATTTATTTGGCACTTTGAGCACCTTACTTGTTTCTCATTTATCATAAAGACCATTATCAGATGCCTCTGAACAGAGGAACAACTTCATAGTCTGCTACTGTGCTTGCCTGCAGACTTTCTTGGGGAAAACTTTTTCTATGCTTTCATGTTTTTTTATATACTACATTAACAAATCCATTTACAGTTAAACAGAGCATTTAGTGAAACTAGGATCTTTACAAAAAGTTATGTTTAAAAGTATTTTTAATTAGGTTGACGGAGGCAAAAACATACACACTTGAATGAAAATAAATGATTTGACATTAAATTGGCCCTTTATTACTCTACAAGTGCGTTTCAAGCACAGTCACTATGTATTATTATACTTACGATTATTAAGCACCAGCCCTGGGAATGGTCTAAAACAAAAAAAATACACAAATAAAAATATACTCAAGTGCGTAGTTTTGTTTAATATAGATCTTATTTACAGAAATAACTAGCATTTTGGTTTGTATGGTTTTATGCATTGCTTACCTACCACAATACATGCTTTCATTTTGTACTATATGATATCATGGGCGATCTAAAGGTAGATACCCAACCTACCGAGACTTTGCCAGCCATAAAAACTAGCAGGGCTTTGAAGGAGATGTAGTTCCAGAAGTTTTTGTTTTACAATTTGGCCATCACTGTAGCAATTCTTTAAACCATCAAAGCTAGCACATCATGTATTCATTAATCTACAGTTTCTCAATGTAGTTCACAGCTAAGCTAGTAAACACCCACTAACAAACACGTCCACACACATTGCAGTCTGACAGAGTAAATGTTGATATATGAATTAGTTCAGACACTTTCAGGCATATTCAAAGTGTATTTCAAATTTAAGGACAATGTTAGCTATGCTTCTAGTTTGTCTGCTTTAACCTTACATTTGAAATTCACTTATCTTAGTGAAGAACCCTCGTGGAGTGACACTGTGGTGTGTGTATTAAAAATGCAATCAAGCATACTTTTAATTGCATAACATTTTCAATCCCTCGAGCACTGTATTTTACAATCTTCAAGGAGAATAACGCAATTGAAGTGAGTGAGGATGTTTCTTCACTATTACCGGGGTTCACAATGTCAATTGTTTCTTTTTATCAGTTAACAAAATGCAAAGTGAGTGAACAGAAGAAAAATGTAAATCAAGTCAATTTTTGGTGTGGCCACCCTTTGCCTTCAAAACAGTAATGTTCTTATTTACTCTGATATGTCTTAATGAATTTGGGGTTATTGTTATGCTGCATCCCCGAACATGCAAGCACCATCCACCATGCTTCACTGACCTGTCTGCAGACACTCAATTCTGTACGTCTTATCAGTGCTTTGGTGAAGACTGCCTTCTGCTAGAGCCAAATATTTCAGATTTTGACTCAGCAGTCCAGAGCCTTCCAGTTCTTGTTTTTTTTCATACATAGTTGAATTGCTTGGCCTTGTTTCCACATAAGATGTATTGCTTTTTGGCCACAGGTCTTCTATAAAGACCACTTTTTCCAAGCGTTATACAGTTGCAAGAAAAAGTATGTGAACCCTTTGATATGGATTTCTGCACAAGTTGGTCATAAAATGTGATCTGATCATCATCTAAGTCACAACAATAGACAATCACAGTCTGCTTAAACTAATAACACACAAAGAATGAAATGTTGCCATGTTTTTATTGAACACACCATGTAAACATTCACAGTGCAGGTGGAAAAAGTATGTGAACCCTTGGATTTAATAACTGGTTGAACCTCCTTTGGCAGCAATAACTTCAACCAAACGTTTCCTGTAGTTGCAGATCAGACGTGCACAATGGTCAGGAGTAATTCTTGACCATTCCTCTTTACAGAACTGTTTCAGTTCAGCACTATTCTTGGGATGTCTGGTGTGAATCGCTTTCTTGAAGTCATGCCACAGCATTTCAATCGGGTTGAGGTCAGGACTCTGACTGGGCCACTTCAGACGGTGTATTTTCTTCTCTTTAAGCCATTCTGTTGTTGATTTACTTCTATGCTTTGGGTCATTGTCCTGTTGCAACACCCATCTATTGCTGAGCTTCAGCTGGTAGACAGATGCCCTTAAGTTCTCCTGCAAAATATCTTGATAAACTTGGGAATTCATTTTTCCTTCGATGATAGCTATTCGTACAGGCCCTGACGCAGCAAAGCAGCCCCAAACCATGATGCCCCCACCACCATACTTCACAGTTGGGATGAGGTTTTGATGTTGGTGTGCTGTGCCTCTTTTTCGCCACACATAGTGTTGTGTGTTTCTTCCAAACAACTCAACTTTGGTTTCATCTGTCCACAGAATATTTTGCCAGTACTGCTGTGGAACATCCAGGTGCTCTTGTGCAAACTGTAAACGTGCAGCAATGTTTTGTTTGGACAGCAGTGGCTTCCTCTGTGGTATCCTCCCATGAAATCCATTCTTGTTTAGTGTTTTACGTATTGTAGATTCGCTAACAGGGATGTTAACATTTGCCAGTGACTTTTGTAAGTCTTTAGCTGACACTCTAGGATTCTTCTTCACCTCACTGACCAGTCTGCGCTGTACTCTTGCAGTCATCTTTACAGGACGGTCACTCCTAGGGAGAGTAGCAGCAGTGCTGAACTTTCTCCATTTATAGACAATTTGTCTTACCGTTGACTGATGAACAGCAAGGCTTTTGGAGATACTTTAATAACCCTTTCCAGCTTTATGCAAGTCAACAATTCTTAATCGTAGGTCTTCTGAGAGCTCTTTTGTGCGAGGCATCATTCACATCAGGCAATGCTTCTTGTGAAAAGCAAACCCAGAACTGGTGTGTGTTTTTTATAGGGCAGGGCAGCTGTAACCAACACCTCCAATCTCATCTCATTGATTGGACTCCAGTTGGCTGACATCTCACTCCAATTAGCTCTTGGAGATGTCATTAGTCTAGGGGTTCACATATTTTTTCCACCTGCACTGTGAATGTTTACATGGTGTGTTCAATAAAAAAATGGCAACATTTCATTCTTTGTGTGTTATTAGTTTAAGCAGACTCTGATTGTCTATTGTTGTGACTTAGATGATGATCAGATCACATTTTATGACCAATTTGTGCAGAAATACATATAACTCCAAAGCACTCACATACTTTTTCTTGCAACTGTACATTAGTAGATGGGTGTATCAGAGACCCACTGGTTTCTGCTAATTCTGAGCTGATGGCACTGCTGGACATCTTCCTATTGAGAAGCAAAGAAAGCATGTGTCGTCTTATCTAGGTTTCCTTGGCCAACCACTGCGTCTACAGCTCTCAACATTGCCAGTCTCTTTGTACTTCTTCAGAAGGGCTGAGAGAGTACACATTGAAATACCTATCTGGTTTGAAATTTCTGCAGTTGACAGGCTGTGCTGATGCAGTACTTATTATTGCTGTGCTCAGTCTTTTCAAGATCTATAACGTTTGACATAAAACGGTCTTCAGCAACCTTATCTTGTTTGCACAGTTTGGCTGTTCCACACCCTGTTTTATTCCTCCTACACATTACTTGATGACTGTGTTTCAACCTACATATTAAATTGAGCACTATGAACACCTCTTTGGTAAAAAAAAAAAAAAAGTTTAGGTGACTATATGACTATAAAATCCCTGACTTTGTGCAAGTGTTACTAGAAGAAATGAAGCAGTTGGTCATCCCAAATATTAATTTGATTAACAGTTTTGTTAGGTTAGCTCTATTTTTGTTAATTAATTAAAATGAACTATCATTCCTCGTTCTATTTTGAAAGCATTCTTACTTATAGCATTTTTTTAACACCTGTCTAAAACGTTTGTACAGTGGTGTGTGGTGAGGGACTGACTCCAGTAGACAAGCACAATGATCATGTGATCTTACAGGGTGTAAATCTAAGGGGTTTAAGTGTGTGTGTTTTTAATTTCTTTAAGAATGTGTCAACATATTACATATAGAATCTAATTAATATACCTAATGCACACTTACCTAATTACAGTAAATTTAATAAATTCAGCAGAATCTAGTATCCTGCGCATTGAGCTGATTTCCAGATAACTTGGAGCTTTGAATGTAATCCCTGGTGGCATCCCATCTACTACCACACACCCTGGATTTGTGGTTATTTTTCTATAGGGGACTTTCACTGGAAAGTTCATACCAATAGCCTCACCTAGAAAAGGAGAACAACAAAATCAAAAGGATTAAAATGTGAATTTAGCATGAGCACCATATGTCAAAACAGTATGTTAAAGGAAATCTGCAAGTACCATCACCACTACAACCTACTGTAGTGTTTACAATGCTAGGAGTGCCATGGTATCCTCCTAGGGCAAGTAGTCAGACTGTTTAACAACTTACTTGGAGTCTGATAGGAGCTGGAAGCTTTCTGGACTGAGCCACCATGGTAATACAGGTCTTAGCAAAGGGGAGCTTTCGACTCTCCAAAAGGCTATGACAGGCACCTGGCAGACCTGCAGATTAGTTGCAAAACAGTTTAAAGTGTGACTACTTACCCTGGGAGGACACCAGGGACTGTTTCACTTGAATTGAATTTATTTTTTGTATAGGTTCAATGTGGAAGACGTGTAAATGAGTGATGATTGAAGCAAAATTGCAACAAAATGTGTGTCTGGTGTAACGTTTAAAAATAAACCGTTACACAAATGTTACAGTCTAATAAATGCAAAAATATTAGCACTAAAAGACAATTAAATAATGAAAATATATAACTCGTCTCCTTTTAACACGCACTGACCAAAACAATTTTTGCACAACAATTTTAAGAATGATATATAGCACTATGTGCTTTTCTACTCTACTAGCATACAAAATGACCCTGAAATACACAATACATCTAAAAACATCTCCACAACATGCCACGATAGTGGTTTTATTTTGTGAATTAATAATACATTTATGTTTCTTCCTGACACAGTGGTGTTTGTTTTGCGATGCTTTACCTGGAATTAAGAGACTTGGCATACACTTACCAAACTTTCGGCTAAAGAGTTCATTGACCTGCTCCCTCAACTGACGTGCTTTGTCTACTTTAACTACTCTTTCATTGTCGACATCTAGAAAAAGAATTAAGTTAGGATTGACGACCTGCACATACATTTTACAAAATACAGATTAAGGAACAGCTCACACACAAAAATACAGTTTTAAATTTTATAAAGCTACTTTAAATCACATATCTCAGCAAACAAATATGTGGATCCTATTACAATATATGGCCATATAGTGTTAAGTCCACCACTACGCCACAGTACCCCAATATCAATGGGTCCTACACCAATTTTAACATGGGAGACAAATTAAGTTGTGATAGAGCTAAATGAGCTAAAGGACATAAACTATGGGATACCATACGAATGTTCTATGATGAGAAATGTCAGGATGGCTTAGTGGAATCAGCTTGAAGCTCTAATGTGCAAAATTCTGACAAAAATGACTGTCAATGATCGTGTTGGAATTTCAATAAAATTATTCTTTGAGTTTACAAAAATGATAGTGCTGCTCTAATAAAAAAATTAAAAAAAAAAAAAAAAAAGTTGCATGCCACAGAGTATTGCCAGAAAAGTCACACTGATTCCAAATTCATGGTGCATTGTACTCTCCATGTCTATACTTGTTATAGGCTAGTAACATATGCTTGTAACACAATGTCAAAACAAGTTCCCTTAATTTATCAGTCATACTTATTAGAAGCGTTGAATTTAATTTTACATTCGGTGCTTAAAATTTCAAGCCAAACAGTAATAGACAGACCTTGAAAGTTACTCGCTACTGCAAGGCTGGAGAGTCCACAAGGGGTGAATTTCTACTAGCCATTTCAAAATCTGGAAAAGTACACACTAGCTATCAATGGTAATGTTCCTGCAACTGTATGTACTAAGGGACCTGGCCACCATGGAGATTGAAAATATTTATCCATCACTCTGACATTCTACAGCAAAGCTTGCAATACAAAGAGACCGCCACCGATATAGAACATAGGGATGTCATGAAGTCATATCAGCAGTGAAAACGTTCACTACAGAAGATGTGTCTCAGCTAATATGCAGTGACCTTGTCATGGTATTGGGCTCTTCACCAGCATGCTATAAACACAAGCAGCAGCAAGGTCACCCTTTAACTGCTTAAGAAATACAACTACAATAATTTTGGTATATAACACGTCTGCACTGCAGATGTCTGGGCTACATTTCCCATGATGCTCTGACAGCCTCGAGCTCACAGATACCTGCAGTAAAAAAGTAGGCAGATGTATGTAATTAAATTATATACACTGATATATTTCAGTATATAAAATCCCAACAGTAACCGAATTTCAAGAGATCCTATTAAAATGTCATGGTTTCGTATAAAATATTTTACATAGCTGCAGACACGAAGAAGCTTAGAATTTAGTTGTGAATATCATCCCACTTTGCGAGGTTTAAGAAACCACTAGTAACATTTATTTAACTACGATATACAATTTGTTGGAACTTGTGAATATTTGGTGCTACTATCACCTGTGTGGATCACTCAACACACACATATAAAGTTCAACAAAGAGAAATAAAAATGGTGGTGAGAGCACTCAATGAATATAGATAGAAATTTTACCATAGGGTAATCTAGTTGGCACATATATAAAACCATATATTCATGGTCAAACTCACATGATTCTGAGTCACTTAAAAAGCGGAATAAAAAAAGGTGTAAAGCAGAGATAAATCGCTGATATGCTGGACTCCTGTAATAGTCAGGGTAAATCCTGTTCGTTTTATTAGTGGTTACCTCCAAAAATCCAGGATGTAGGATCAAGGTAAAAACCTCTTTCTTTTTTAAACAAAAAATAAAAACAAATAAAACAAATTAAGACAGGATAAGTCCATTAATCTTGCCACTCAACGCGTTTCAGCCCAAAGCCTTCCTCAGAAGTGGTGCACGAATAAACCGCTAATAAAACGAACAGGATTTACCCTGACTACTATAGGAGTCCAGCATATCAGCGATTTATCTCCGCTTTACACCTTTAGTCTGAGTCAGCTTTTTAAGTGACTCAGAATCTTGTGAGTTTGACCAAAATATATGGTTTTATATATGTGCTAACTATGTTACCCTATAGTCTTTTATTCTTATTTTTTAGGAATGGGTCTATGCCAATATTGGTAAAATGTATACAGGGATATAATTTCTAATTAGTGGGGTAATAGCTGCTTGATCCAAGGAGACATCTGACTGCTATTTTGGGGTCAAGAAGGAATTTTTTCCTAGTTTGTTGCAAAATTGGTAGCGCTTCAGACTAGGTTTTTTTGCCTTCTTTTGGATCAACAGCAACAACATATGTGAGGAAGGCTGAACTTGATGGACACAAGTCTCTTTTCAGCTATGTAACTATATCTATATTTATTTCACTTTGTTGCAATTTATTTAACTACGCTAAAACTCATTACTAAGCCAATGTTTATATTATTAAGTCTTACAAACAAATAAAAAATAAGGAAGTGGTGAGCACACTAATTAAACATCTCACTTACAGATGAATAAGTATACATACATATGTAAGATGAATTTGAAACATTTGAATATTCCACTTGCCTGGTATAGTTACTTGTATGATATTGAGATCTTCAAGTCCAGATGCGGTGAGTGAGGGGTTGTGAAAACTTGTCCTTTCTTAAGGAAAAAAAATATGCATAGTTTTAGATATAAATGGATATCAAAAAAGCTTAATTGGCAAAACAACTATTGTGATCTGCAAATGTGCCATGAAGCAATCTTGTAACCAAAGGTAAAACTATTAGCAGAAAACTGTACACACAGCCTCACACGCTCTAACAGTGTGGAATACAAATATGCATTATACATCATATTGTAAGCGAACACCACAAAACAGACAGGCAGAGCAAACAAACACATTAGATGCAAATACCTTACGTTAAACAAGCAAACTGCTTAACAAGGTATAAAAAAACAATATCTATAACACAATATAAATTAAGTTGATGCCATTATACAGTGTACTTTCTACATCAAGGCAAGCATCTCAAATGTTAAATTTCATTCAACCAGCTTTTGGGATGTCTCCATTATATTTATAAGACTTTTCCTTTATTGGTAACATATTCCTGTTTTCTTTGCCTCTCTTGCGAGGGACATTTTTCCTCATAAATATATATTGACTTAAAAAAAAAAGAAAAATGTAGTTCATCAAGAAATGAATAACTAGATATTTTGTCTAGTACAGCCGCACAATATTTACATGATAATGTTATAACACGTGGTTACAATGCAGATCTATACAAACTCAAATTCACAATGTATTATAATGTGTATAAAATACAGAAAAGAGTGACCTTTATAATACTTTTTTTTAAAGTTCTGCTTTGCTCTTCCTCTCTCCTGATCTTCATCACAGATTAGCATCCCCAGTTCTAGGAATAGCCAAGAAAAGGAGAGGAAGGCAGGACAGGACAGTGGAAGCCCAAGACTAGGAATCCACAGTTTCAGAATAAAAGTCAATGAAGATCTGTCATATAATTCTGAGTCATCTCATAATGGCATAGAAAACACAATGGCAAAATACCAGAGCTTGTTCTATGACCCAGAGGCATTTGCTGGAAGGAGCAGAGCCTTGAACGGCAGTACAATACATAACAGCCTGGGTAAAGTCATGGGTCAGTGGCTATGTGGTCATCTTTAACCCCTTAAGGACACATGACATGTGTGATATGTCACGATTCCCTTTTATTCCAGAAGTTTGGTCCTTAAGGGGTTAAAGGCTCTGACACACACCGAAGAGGCCACCTTGCAATTTAGGACTAGGCATTCAAAGGGTGTGTAAGGGTCCTTTTTATTCGATCCATTCAAGGTGACTTTCAGCTTGAAAAAGGCTTGCAGGGACTTGGTGCAGAACCAACAAGAGACTTTTTAGAACTCCTTATCATCAGCACTTTTAATCTCACCCTTAAAAAGCTTCTGATTTCAAATGAATATTCATTTGATAAATGGGAAACATCTAGCTAGATAAGTGAAAATGGGATAGAGACAATAGGCTTATCTCAGAGGCTGGCTTTCAGTGATCGGGTTCAAAGTTCACCGTTGAAACACAGCTACAAGAAGCAAGTACCAGGAGACACGTGAACTGTGCTAGAAACAGTGATGGATAAAATGTTGCTGTGGGAGCAAAAGTGCACGTTTTAAGGTTTCCATTAGTGCAGTACATAGTAACCCAAGCATGCTGGATTAAAAAGCCTGTGGAAAAGCCAACTGTACCAGGACAATAGTGCCTTGAGAGTTACTGAGCCAATGGGGAGTTAATGACACCTGGGAAACTCCCACTTGGTAAGGTGATAAAAACAGAATGTTAGCAAACCACACCACTTCTCACACATGGCAGGATCTGTCAAATATAAAGTGGAAGTGTCTGGATGCAATTATACAGCGGCAGACATAATTGCCTTAGTCCACTCTAAATAAATACAATTCTCCAAATCAAGGAAACAATGCTGCTACTATCCTACAGCTATTCAGTAAAGTGTAAAAGGTAGTGAAAGATATCAACAACAAAAAAGTCCCTACACAAAAGTTGCTTCCAGCATACTCTCCTCTGTGCCAGTTAGATGGTTTACAGGAGTGAGAAAAGCAGAGTACTTTGTGTCCTTGACTGGAACACCTCTCACCACCGCAACATCTAACTGACAGTCTGCACAGTTTCTCCAACAATCGGTCAGATAGACTTAAGCATTTCGAGACTCTCAGGTCACTTCATCACAGGCCTCTGATGAAGAAACTGTGCAGACTGTCAGTTAGAGCTTGCGGTGAGAGGCTCAGAGAATCACTTCTGATGTCAGCCAAGCAGGCAGATCCGGGCCAAAGGTAGCAGCTGCAGACTTGAAGTAAGATTTTACTATATTTTCGGAGGCAATGAAGGCACATGGGGGGGGAGGAGGGAGTCTGTTGGGGCATTAGATGGTGGTTTTAACACAACAGGGTCAGGAATAGATGTTTTTGTTCCTGGCCCTATAGTGTTCCTTTGTGTTTACAAGCTTTTTATGTGAGTGTCCTTTTATACTAAAGTGTCATTTTTTTTTTATTGGGTATTTTTATCACCAATTTTAAATGTTCCAGCTAATTTTGTATTTATATGCATTTACGCTAGTAGCTTCTGGTCTTCTTGCTTTTATTCTACTGTTACGGTCTTAAACGAGGAAGAGAAAGAAGGGGATTGCTTGGTTAAACTTGATCCTGGTTTTAAATAAGCAGGTTAAACTTGATACTGGTTTTAAATAAGCAGCATTCCATAGAATGGCAGAATACTGCAAAGAAATGCAATGATAAGATGCAAAAGGCTTAGTCTCAGGTTAGGTTCTGAAGGTTTAGAAACAGCGTGAATGATTCGCAATACAGGGTTAATGAAAATAGGTGAATTATATAAGGAAAAAAATACTTTCCAATCCAGGCAAGCAGGGAACTTCACAGAACAGTCAAATAAATGCAATACACATCTCTCACCCAAGCAATCATGGAGAGATAAGTCAAAGTCAGTGCATATAAAGTGTTGTTCATAACTGCCAGGTAAGATGATCACAAATGTGCAGTGTAAGGCTAGGAATCCTGAAAGCTTATTGCTTTATCCCATAATCCCATACCTATTCTCCATTTGCACACCAAAACTACACAAAGATAATGGGTAGCACATTATTCCTCTCAATGAACCTGGAGGGAGGGGGGAAGCATATTGAATTGCTGCTTTGCAAGATTTGTAATCATTTTTTGTCCCTCTATTTCCCTTTTATTTATTTTTTCAAATTCACTTTAGACTTTTTATTTTTTTATATACATAAGTAAGAGAACACTTTTTTATGTAGAGTGTGATCCCAGACAATGGTTGGAGCTTCAGTAAAGTTACATTTCAAATGAAAAACTGAAATAAATAAATCATCAGCTTAGAATTGTGTGTGGAAGGTCAGGGGAGAAAAGGAGAAAGTCTTCTGGGAGTTCTGTCCTCTCCAGCAGTAGAAGTCCAGTTGTGACCCTTTCAAACCACTATCTGAAGTCTTAATGTAGGTCTTCCTGGTGTGTCCATACTGCATAATTTGGCCACACTAGGAAGATACACAATAATAAAATATGAGTGATTTTAAATACTGTGACCTGCTGAATTACAGAGGTCACTATGCAGATGTAAAGATCATTTTGTCAATACCTGAACATGAATTTCTTAAATTTAGCTATGATCTCAGCTGTACCATTCGTGAGCTACAAATTCTGTGAAACTAAATGTCAATGTAATATTTAGTCATTCAGTGTTATTTACTAAAATGAGAATTGTGGGGAACTCAAAGTGAATTTCAAATTTAAAGGACCACTATAGTGCCAGGAAAACATACTCGTTTTCCTGACCCCCTCCCGCCCGGCTCTGGAAAGGGGTTAAAACTTACCTTTTTCCAGCGCTGGGCGGGGAGCTCTCCTCCTCCGATCCTCCTACTCTCCGCCCATTCGGCTGAATGCGCGCGCATTCAGTCAGTCGCATAGGAAAGCATTTGCAATGCTTTCTTATGGACGCTTGCGTGCTCTCACTGTGACTTTCACAGTGAGAAGCACGCAAGCGCCTCTTAATAGGAAGGATTAACCCTATTATAAACATAGCAGTTTCTCTGAAAATGCTATATTTATAAAAAAAATGGGTTAACCCTAGCTGGACCTGGCACCCAGACCACTTCATTAAGCTGAAGTGGTCTGGGTGCCTAGAGTGGTCTTTTAAGGCCGAAATAGCGGAATCTCCAAGTCAGCAACACTTCCAGTTTGGCTACTTTGATCTAAAATGTGAAATTCACTTAGAATTCAAGACATTTTTCAGATTTTAGTAAATAACCCTATAAGTATTGGAAAATCATAAAATTTGCATAATACACTAGTCATGGAGATACACACAGAAAATAAATTTTATTAAAGGCAAAAAAAGAACAAACCAAACCTAGCACACACTGTCTTCAAGAGACTGTAAGAAGGAAAATGGAGTATTAATGTTACAACCACCATCATGTTTTTGTCCAATTTGAAAAACAATACTTACTTTGAGGATGTAATGGTGGAAAATCTTTGGCTGCAGCTTCAAACATTTCAGGTCTGAAAGTAGGAAAAAAAACCAAAAAAAAAAACCAGAGGTTTAATACAATAATTACTACAATAAAACAAATCACACGCAAATTTCCCTTTATATAAGGATATGGAAACAACACATGCAACTTTAAATATCTTACTTTTTGATTACAAAATTAATCTTGGCTCTGTTTCGAAGAATCTTCTCCAGCCTAGGAATGCCGAACGTGGACGGTCTACGGAAAGGAACTCCTTCTGGAAGACCTTCCACATAAAAGTCCTCTGGGTAGGATTCAAACAGTGCAAATGGGACTTTGAAAGGCTCCTTCATACCTAGTGCCTCTCCTAGAAACAATCAGAATCCCTTTATTACGGACTACAAATAAACTTAAACCTAATGCAACTATGGAAATGGCGTAGTCACATGTGTGGGCCTATATGCAGTAAATGGCTTTTTGAAGACAAGGTCATATTAGGTGCATACAACTGGTTTTTGTATAAAAATTGATTAGATTACAGAATGAGTAATATATAAACAAGCAAAATGGCATCTAAGAATACACATTAATTTTGACAATCTAAAAATATAACTACTTAGAACAGAAGGACAGCAGATTTTAAAAGATGGAGTGGTGGAAGACTACATATTCGTATTTCTATTTCATATAAATGGGTCAAACAATTTAAATCATTGCATAGCACCTCCATGCTCCACTGATCAACCCATTTAAAGAAGATCCTTCAGAAGTTGTCTGCATATAGTGTAAAACTATAACGGTTAGTGAATAAAGCCACTGAATGAATACTTTGTTAGTCTACCAAACTTTATCTCGAAACATCAATTAAACCTGGACTGCAGGTACTCTTAGGACTAGTACAAGATTTACAATACATTATGTATACCAAGATTGGAAACAAAGGGACTTGATTCAGCCTTTGCTTTATTATGCTACATAATTGTATCACTTAAAGCTCACGTACCACATTTTTCATCAAATAATGCTTCAACTTTCTGCTTCAGATCTGTAATTTTTGCATTCCACGCCTCTGTGTTCAGAAAGGAAATTTGTAATATACCATTAAATAATTTAAGTAGTTCAGTATTTGTCAATCACATCCATGTAGCACTTCCGTTTCTTTAATTGACCAATACTGGTAACATCCGTTAAAGGAACAAAAAGTAAAAACAGCCATTGCTTATTTCAAATCTGGCACGTTTGATATATTCTCAAACAGATCTACACATCATAAACTACATTTTCACTGTAGAAAACAAACCTAAATTAATCTAATATAAGAAGTAAAGTCTCAGACTTTCGACATCACAGGTAATTTGATAGAGCTTCTAAAATAAGTTGTTTTTCTTTTTAAATTTCTAAGAATATCGCAATTCAATTTATTTTTAGGTGAGGGGAAGGCAAGATTAAATACAAAAATAATAGCAGAATATGTATGTTGATAGATACCAAGCATGATAGGTACCCAGCACCAAAAAAAATATTTTATGGCAGAGTCATAGTGATTAATGTAGAGTAGGTCATAAAAATGCATTAAAGGGAAACTCCAGTTTCTGCAGGTCCCCTCTCCCTCCACCCTCCAATCCCCGGTTGCTGAAGGGGTGAAAACCCCTTCAGTAATTTACCTGAGGCAGCGACGATGTACCTCGTCGCTGCTTCCTCCTCCACGCCACTCCTCCTTCTGACTGCGTTGGCCGGTGGGCGAGACTGAACCCGCCCACCGGCCGGGGAGACCTAATCCGCATGCGCGAATTAGCACTCCCCATAGGAACGCATTGAAAATGCATTTCAATGCTTTCCAATGGGGAAATGAGCGACGCAGGAGGTCCTCACACAGCGTGAGGAGGTTCAGCGATGCTCTAGCACCTGCTAGGAACAAGGAAGTGCCCTCTAGTGGCTGTCTAGTAGACAGCCACTAGAGGTGGAGTTAACCCTGCAAGGTAAATATTGCAGTTTACAAAAAACTGCAATAATTACACTTGCAGGGTTAAGAGTAGTGGGAGCTGGCACCCAGACCACTCCAATGGGCAGAAGTGGTCTGGGTGCCTGGAGTGTCCCTTTAAGGAATAACATTCAAACTAAGCATTTTTGGGGCATTTTGATAGTACAATTTACACATCAATTGTATTTCCTATAGAGTCGTAACAGGTGTCTTTCATAAAAGTTGCAAGAAATCTTATTCTAATTTATTAAGACAAACTCAATAAGGCTAAAAAGTATTTTTGTACCTTAAAATTTACATTCAATTTTTTTTAATAAAATGATTAAATAAATAAATTTTACCAAAGGAAAATTCTCTGGCTCTGGGTTTGCACGGCACATTGGAACCATTTGTTTGTGGAATGGGGCGCACAACAGTCTTATCTTGAGAACCTGGAAAATTATGCACAAAAAAAATATATATATCAGAATTACACAGACCAAACATGACAATCTATGAAGCAGAAGCTCACCTCACCACATCAGTCCTTATTCCACATTCCTATATCCTTTAGGATTAACTTTAAAAAGCTTGAGCTCATGTTTAAAGCTTTCTATAATGGTTTGCCAGCTCTGAATGTCTTACCTATCATATATTGGGTTTTGTTTCTAATCCTTGAAGAAAGACATATATACCTTTTTCTTACAGATAGGATTAATTTGCCCACCCATTTCACCATACATACACACTACCTAGCTCCACTAGCCTTATTACCATTTTCTATAACATTAAAATTCACATATGTATACTAATATATATATATATATATATATATATATATATATATATATATACACACACACACACACACACATACACACACACACATATATATTAGCTGTTCATCCTCCTTTCTGGATACACTGTATTAGAACGTCTTCCCTTCTAGAGAAGCGTAGCGTACCATTATGTTTTGTTTATTATTTGTGTGGTCATTTGTGCACTTAACAGGAGATGTACCTGGAATTAATTTTTTAGGTTATAAAGCTTCAATGCGACTTTCAACAGCATTCAAAATACAAAATTAACTATACAAAGGCTGAAGAAATGTAGATATTAAGGCAGTCTGTAAACTACTGGGTCTAATTTGCTTCCTGTATTAATAGGCATGCTTTCAATAGTTAAAATGGGAATGGGAGAACACTTTCTGTCAGTACATTCATCAACCAAGGATCTGCAAAGCCCTTAAACTAGATAAAGTGTCAGTAGACACAAAATGAGGAAGAACTAATGCTTTTGGGTTCTTTCCACTATATGACCAATTTGAATAAAGATTTTTCTACTAATACTGAACGAGCATTGGCTAATGTTTCATGAGAACCACCTAGGATTACCTGCAAAGCCATGAGGTTCTAAAATTGACACTTTGTCATCTCCTGTAGGAAATACAGTAAAGTGGAAACTTTAATCTCTACAATGAATAGACACTCAAAAGCAGGTAATTGGGGTACAAATTTAAACAAAAGATCTGAAGGAACTTGCAGCAAAAAATGCAGATATAAAGAAAGATGCAAAGGGTCGTGTGCACCCAATTCCAGTTAATTAGTGAGAGGGTATTGAAGAAAAAACCTGTTTATATGGGAATAATATTACATGGCACAGCAGAATTGTGATTGGTATCACAATCGTAGAAATCATACCTTCATTCGTACCTTCCACTGTGGTGTTCTTTGCACTTTCATTGTTTTCTGAGCTTTGTAATGCTGTAAACCAAGCAGCAGGTTATTGTTTAATCATTTTTAAAAAATACACAGCATTGCTGGAAGAAAGCAAACATCCACTTAAAGAAAATAAATATAACTGACTGAAGGATGACTTTTGTTTGAAATTTTTAATTTTTTTTAAGATTAAGTCATATTTGATCTATAATAATGAATAATGTATTTATCATGATGGATACATTAACACTTTTTTATTTCTACCAAGCTGAGATTTATTGGAAATTAACTAGGGAATGGCAACGTTTTTACTTCACAATAATAACATTTTCCAAAACGTCCCTATTTTTTTCTAGTTTGGGTACTGTAGCCTTAAGGTGAACCTGTCAAAATTCCCAACAAAAGTTAGGGGAGGAGGTGTAGCTAGTAGCCTTGGCAGTGAAAGTTCACGGATTTGTCTGCAAGAAATCCTAGCTGACCCAAAGCAAGTGTTTGGCCAAAAAAAAAAAAAAAAGGCATAAAAGACCCAGTGCAGCCAGTCATCTCAGGACATCCTACTTTGAAATTACATGAAAATACAATAAGGTTGCAAAAGGTCAAACTGTTCTACTGATTATTGCTGGGTAGCCCAGACAGTGAAAGAAAAGCAAGACCTAACTTCTAAAACTCCAGTTTCTATTTTTATTTTTCTTGTGGCAAACAGCAACAGCATTTAAGTAGCACTTGTGTAAGAAAGGTAGGAGACATGCATTTTGCACGTTCAGAAGGATGTTACATAATAGGTAAGCAAGTTTTCAGAGAATTGGGAAGTATATTAACCCACACAGTGTTTCAACGTTTATACCCTCCATTTTAGAGTGACATAAATTACTCAAGAATGACAAACAGGGAACCAGGAAGTGTGTGAACAATTAGGAAAGCGGCTTCATATGGACAGTATAACACAATCATTATTCCAAGTATAATGTAAAACCACTCAGCAATTGCATGTATATCAGTACCCTGAAGAGTTGCAAACCCTTTATAGGGATTTAGAACGGATTACTTGAACTTTTTTTTTTATAAAGCATTTAAACGCAATATATGCACTACAGGTAGAACTATACAAGCACCAACATAGTTTATACTGCCCAAAATGAGCACATATGAACATATAACAGAGAGTCGGCTGCATGAATTCTAAAATCAGTTAAAGAGCGCAAAATATCAAGTTTGCATGGTAAGAGCACCCAGGAGGTCCAGGCACTTTATAATGCGTCCACTGAACCCCTGGATTCCTTTATATAATTTACTGCATCCTCACCTTTTACTGCAGACTAACGATGCAGAAATTTACATGAAATGAAAACTATGACATAGACATACATAGTGAATGATATTACATGGACACATAATAATACATGTAATCCAATTAAATTTTATTTTAGAATCAAATGCTTAATTTTATCAGAACATGACATTGGCTTACAATAAAAACACGGTATCTGATCCATTATTGTCCATTTTGACCTAAACTACTAAATATCCAACATTATAGCAGTATACATTTTAGATATGTTGAAAAAATACACAAAAAAAAAATAAAAAAAATACATGGCATCATTGAGTCATGTCCTCATTCCTCTTGCTTTATATTAATCCGAAGGAGAAAAAAAAAAACACAAAATAAAAAATGAGAAAAAAAAATACAAAACACAAAAGACCTAAACTGAACATGCCCATAGCAGTTTCATATGTACAATTAAGGTCAGACATTCAACATGCACACACATGCATATAAAGCTTAAGTGAAAACAATATTAGTGATGGGTAAATTATTGAGAGAGACAGAGAGAGAGAGATTCATTTTCCTCCTCCCCCTTTATTCTCCCAATGCTTGGGGTACTTGCAATGCTGAAATATAAAAAATAACGTGTAAAGAATGGAGAAAGGCAATTTTTTTGTATACTTTAGTATTAAGTGCAAGAAAATAGTGGCCTTACAATTTTTATTTTATATATATAAAAATATATATAAAATAATGGCATTTTCCTCTAAAGCGGTTACTTTGTTTAAATTTACATTTATATTTGTTTGTATTCACATTTAATTCAATAACATTTGACAGACAGGACAGAAGTAACTGGGACACAGCAGTGCATGGTCACGTGTAGGAGCAGGTAGGATGGGAAGGGGAAAATTCACCCCTACCCCACCCAAAGAAAAAAAAAAATAATCTGGTGTAGGTTTTCAAGTGATACTCTTAGCACAAAAACAACTTCAGATTAATTAAGCAGTTGTGTGTTTAGGTTATGCCTCTGCAGTCTCAATTCTCTGCCATTTAGGAGTTACATTGCTTTTATGCAGCCCTAGCCACACTTCTTCTGGCTGTGACTCACAGGTTTCATTTTCAATCAGATATTACAGCACTGTATTTACTTTAATCACACACAAGTCTCTAACAGGCAAGTAACAGAGCAAAAGATAAGAAATTCTGAATTAAACAGATTGTGCAGTAAAGGGATTGTGCAATGAAAAGATCTCTTTTTACAGGAAGTGTTTCAGGAGACCATGTAAGTCCCATGCTTGGAGGTGTGGCTAGGGCTGCACAAAAAGTGATGACCTCATAAATGGTAGAGAATTAAGCAGTGACACTGAAGGGGTATGATCTATACACCAAAACTGCTTCCGAAGTAGTGTCCCCTTAAAATCATATGCATCCATGACAAGAAAAAAATAGATATATGCTTAAAGAGATGGTTATCCCATACTATCCCAGACTCCCAAGTATAATATATATAATTTTGTCTATAGAAAACTGCAAAGTGTAATGCTTGTTCTCTAAGAAAGGTTGGCATTGTTATGAAAGGCTGTCCTCTAAGATTTTCCAGTAAATTCTTACCATCAACACTTATTTTATCTGCCAGCTCAGGAGGAATGTGGGAAATAACAAGTTGAGGCCTGAAAGATAACAAGCACACACATTTCAACATTACAATCAACAGAACTTCCAACGTTACATGACACTATAAACTCTTATTTGGTTTGCTTAATTTATTCTATAAGAAAGAGTAAAATAATATGCACACTGTTTATATTTGTTTGAATACATGTTACATACAGCAGATATAATCTACCTGTGTTCATGTAAGAAATTTTGAAAATAAATTAAATAAAAAATATATAGGCAGCTGTCTACACTGCTTATTTGTGTCAAACATGTAACAGAGTCTGGAAAATTAAAAATAAAGGACTCAGCAAAATGTTCATTTATGATAAAAACGGCTCTGGTCATTAATTATTAATAGGTCTTCTCTCAAACAACTAAGAGAACAAAACACACAAATAATTAATATTTTGGGAAATCAGGTGCACTATACATACTTCTTAACGACAAACTTGATTTTGGCACTTCCCCGTACAATTCTTTCAAGTCGAGGGATTCCAAACCACGTTGGACTTCGGAACGGAATCCCCTCAGGTAATCCTTCTACATATAGGAAATCTGGATTTGACTCAAACACAGGGTATGGGACTTTTACAGCTTCAGGAAGTCCTAGTGCTTGTGCTGGAACAAAAATTAATGACTTAACTCAAGTAACAATTTAAGATTTTCAACAAACAATATGATTTGGAACTAATTTGCTGACATTTGTAAATTATTACAGTCAAATATAGAAATTTAGAAAAAGAATAGTAAAATATTCTATTATTCTACAACACACTTTTGTCATAAAATTGCTCTTATAGTATAGATAGGCAATTGTAACTGTAATAAATCTATAAAAATGTGTGTCTGTAATGAAAACAGTCTCACCAAGTTAAAGACCAAAGGCAATCATTAAAGGATTTCTGTGAGGTGGGAGTCAGGCACTGCTGTTCTATGGGGCTTGTAGAACTACAAAGAAGTGAAATGCATTGTACACTGAAGCGTTCTTGGATGAATTCTTCTGGTCACAGGATTTGATATTGTGACCATGCAACAACTGCTGACTACTACAGCAAAAGTGTCTTCACACAGCTACTATACCAGCAAATCACAAGCATAAGAGTAGAGTATGTATGTATGTGTGAGTGCATGTTCAATTCTACTAGCACAAGTTCCCATGATGGGGGCCAATTTTGCTACCTCTTCTGGTGATTTACATTTGGTGTGACTCCTCCAATAATTCTGCAGTAACATTGCTTTAAAGTCAACTTACCAAATTTTGTATTAAATATTTCCTCCACTTGTTTTCTTAATTTGGTAATTCTTACATTCCAGTCTTCTTTGACTTTAAAAAAAAAAAAAAAAGCAAACATAAAAAAATAGCTTTGTGATGTTTTCAAATTGATTGACTAAATACTATATTTGACAGTGATTGACTAAATCAGTGGTAGTCGACCTTTTTCTACCTACCGCCCACTAATGCATCTTTTTGGTTGAAAAAAAATGTCCTTACCGCCCACCAGTTTCCGCGCAAGTGCAGAATATTTTTTCGAAAGGAGGGTGTTTTAAAAAATAAAAATAAATGTATGTACATTTATCTTTTTATTTCTACTTAATGCATGTTTATAATGTTTTTAACTTTATAAAGTTTAATGAGAAAACAATAAAGTAAATTGAAATTACCTTTACTAGTAATTAATGAGATCCTTGAGGTTGATGCTGCGAGACTAAATATTTGATATCTGGTTCGTAAGGAACAAACGAAGGTCTCCTCTTTCGGTGATATTCAGACTACTTCTCTGTTGGCGCATATTATGATTTCTCATCTGTGCGTCAGCTCCCCTCCTCTCCCTCCTCAATTCCCCTCCCCATCTTTTTATTCTCCCTTTTTTTTTTTTTTAAACCTTCCTTATAGCAATGCCCAGTAGGAAGGCTGAGCTAGGTATCCCACTTACTATTACTTACTATAGCCGACTATAACACACAGGCACACATACATACATACATACATACATACATACACACACACACACACACACAAGACATACATACATACATACATACACACACACACACACACACACACAAGACACACATACATACAGACACATACATACAGACACACAGACAGGCACACATACAGACACACACACAAGACACATACATACAAACAGACAGGCACACATACATACAGACACACACACACATACAAAGACACATACACACAAGACATACATACACATATACAGACACACACAAGACATACACACACACAAGACATACATACAAAGACACATACACACACACACACACACAACACATACATACAAAGACAAGACACACATACACATATATATATATATATATATATATATATATATATATATATATATACACAGACACACACATATATACAGACAGACACATGCATACAAAGACACATACATAAGACACACACACATACACACACATACAGACAGAAACACACAAGACATACATACAAAGACACATACACAAACAAACACACACAAAATATTTTAGTCACCCTCCTGTTTCCTACTTTTCAGGTGCAGGAGGGTGTGTTTCCCTGGGGTCCAGGGGTGGCTCAGGTGGATGGGAGTCAGAGTTCCCACTCTGACTCCCTCCTCCTTCCTCCTTCCTCCCGCGCGGTCTGTGTGTTAGCGGAGAGGAGTGACGTGCAATCACTTCCTCCTAGCGTGTGATGTAATCACAGGGGGCCCGGTCGTGCTGTTAAAGCGCCCAGCGCTGACCGGGCCCCCTCACAATCCACATCCATCGGGTGGCCCATGCTGTCAGGGATGGACCCCTCAATATGCGGCCGCGGCAAGTGGTGTTGGTGGAACCTGGTCGCAGGGGTACCGCAGGCTCGCGCCCGCCCGCTCACCCACCCAATCTCTCAAAATTAGAAAATCCCTACGGCCCACCTGGAATCCTCAAATGTCCACTAGTAGATTTGGAGATTTGATCAATGCAGAACAGTAAAACAGGCAAGTTCCCCAAATCTGAGCCATTTTCATGCCTTTTTTGAGCGTGTGATTCGGTTTTCAAATCAGATATTTGGAACTAAAACTCTGCCAAGCCAAACAGACATTCATCCGAAATTCAGACATCCTACAAAATTTTCTATTTTTGGAAAAAATTGCTTGGCCAAGCCAATTTTTTTAAAACTTTGCACAAGACTATTAGATATCTCTAATATCTCTGATCTCTTCCACAATATCACTTCCACCTCACATTGACTTTTTATTCCATCTCATATAATTAAAAAAAACTTCTGCCATCACATGGCATCTAACTGCATGTTTTTCTCCTTAAATACAACCAGAGATTCTGCTCCACTTGAGATCTCTCACATTCCTTAGAAGAATTCAGGAACTAGCCATCTATGCACTGAGGAATGTAAACTCTCTGCCAGTCTGACAGACAAGGGAGAGCTAATGGGGCCACCTAGGGAACATAGGAACAGAGTAATATCCCAAGCAGGGCAAATCAAAGAAGAGGACCAAGGTGGAGCGGAGGATGGCCAGGAGGTGTGTGTTACATGAAGATTAACATCGACAAAGCAGTGTCGCAAGGGAAAAACATGAGAAAATCTTTAATCTTTAAATATTTTACATTAAATACAGCCTGTATCTTTACGATACATAGTGTATTTAAGGTTTATGGGAGTGATATCAGGTAAGTTGTCTTTTTCATAACAGGTTCACTTTAAAGCAAACTGAAGGAAAAAAAATAGACAAACAACACTAAAAAGAGAGAAAGAATACTTTTGAAACCGATAGAAAAGATTAATACATAGAAAATTGGGAGCATGTTGTTTTAATATGTGTAATTACCTCCTGAATTACTTTTGTTTTGAGGAGACTCTGGTGCAGTTTGCGTAAGCAACTCTGGTCTGTAAAATAAAAACACATATCAGCTTTTAACATCAAAAGAAAACTATCATTAATGATTCAATACTTTGAAAAGTCATTTAAATAGTGTTATTAATTAGCTAAAAAAAATGTACACAAAAGATGTGCCTATGAAGAACCAAAGATCTGATTCAGCACAATACATGATTTAAATACAACTTAATAGATTGATACACAATACAGTAAATACAATGAAAAAAAAATCAATTGGTTTCTTAAAGGGGAACTGTCACTATTATTTGTAATATAATGTTTTACTTTATATTAAACAAATACGTGTTTGTAAAACGTGAAAACAAACTGCACCCAGACCTTCAATGAGATGTCCCCCTTTAATATAAATGACAATGGGGCATCATGTGAAAATTTTTTAACATGAGTTATGGGTGCTTTCTAAACGTTTGACCCAATGGTGTCATATCCACAGAAGTGACAAGTCCACTTTAATAGCAACTGATGATGCAAACAAAGCAGTTCTGTCACCGTCTGGTGTCTTTGAACAATGTGCAAAGACCAATGGCGGTGACATTGTCACTATAGATCCGGTGGCAGAGGAAGGTGAGATTTACTTACCTGAACCAGTCCCTAGCAGGCACCATCATCATCTTCCTACCGCTCTTCTTCTGTCTGCGAGACCCTCCATAGAAAGAGCTTGGGTAGGTGTCGTCTGGGGAACTGATAAGCTTGGGTATTTCATAAGATTTTATCTTATTACGTAATACTCATTTTTGATAAGGGGTGATAGAGCTACATTAAAGAGATTTTATAGTGCCAGGAAAACAAACCCATTTTCCTGGCACTATAGGCTCCTGCAGTGCACCCCTCCCTCGTGCCCCCTCTCCCACGGCACTGAAGGGGTTAAAGCCCCTTCAGTGACTTACCTGAATCCAGCGCCAAGGGACATCGGCACTAGGTCAGACTCTGCCTAAATAGCAGTGGGCAGTGACATTGCCACTGTAGATAGAATTGAGCAGTAGGACTTCAGAGGCATGATCTATGATGGCATGATCTCAAAATCTGCTTCATTAGGCTAAAGTTGTCTTGTGACTATAGTGTTCCTTTAAGTATCAAAGGATACATGGGGCTCCATGTTTTTTTAATGCTGCAGGCTCGGGGCACACTAAAAAATACTGTGGTTGAGTGCAATTGTGTGTTATTTTAAAGGATTTAAAAGGTATGTGCAGCCTTCATAGCTCATCTGTCACTCTGAGGCCACTAGCTGTGGCACCATCTGACAGTTTGGACCCTTGGCAAATGGAATATACCTTGGGTTCCTTGGTACCAGCAGAAATGTAATCCCTGCTGATACGTGATGGTCTAGCCATCAACGGGCGTTACAGCCCTGCACTGTATGACAACATAAACGGTCATGGGGTCCTTAAGTGGCTAATGTGGAGAGAGAGGAAAACAAACGTATTGCATCTTCCTTAGGCATGATCCATTTTTTCACAATACAACCTCCCTGTGAGGCATTCTATTATGTACCACGCTCAGCCAAAGTGAGATCAGTGTCAGCTGAGTTGCTGCAAGGATTCCAATCCTTAGCCAATCACTTATCATATGCCCCCTTTGAACATCTTTAATATACTGTGCAGATAAAAAGTCAGTAATTGTCTATAGGGCAGAATTTAATCAGATTGTGTTGATGCCCAGATTGTTCCTTTAAAGCCAACAGTGGCCCACTTTATTAGGCATATCATTAATGCAAACAGTCAAACAAGAATTGCATGGCTACAATTTAGAACTGGCAACAAAGAAAATGTGATCAACAAAAACCTGTTAGAGTTTAAAAAAAAAAAAAAAAAAACTGTAGCTGTCCGTTTACCATGCACATTGTACAGTCGGAATTTTACATAGATAATTTCAACTCATCCTGATTTGTGTCAGCTGTATAATACACGAACAATGTAAGGGTATAAGAAATCTTTTTTCCATTCCTTTAAGGCCAATTCAACCATATTGCTTTCATTGGATGCTTCCAGGAGGATAATGCATCATATCACAAACCCAGAAACCAGAAAAAGGTGGAAGCTTGGTATATGGTAAACTGATAAGGCAGTGAAGGGGTTAACCCTAAATAGAATAGAATATAATGAGAGAAGGAAAGGCACTGCCGTGGAAAAAATATTTTTTAAAACATAACTTTTAATAGTGAAACAATTAAAAGGTGATATGACTATAAAACGAATCTAATTAATTTCAAGAGACCTCAATATACCAAAAGGGAATATAGAGAGATAAAAATAGACAGATAAGTGGTAGTGATTAATAGGAGGATGTTCAAACTTAAATTAAGTATATTGTAACTATAGAGTCAAGTTTGGACATTTCACAAAATGTAACAACTAAAGATACAGACTAATGTTACAATGTATCAGTTGTTACAAGTGAATCACTCTCTAGGTTTATGACACTGAACAGAAAAGTGTCAATGCTTTTGTATAGGCTGGGATATTAAATTTGGTGATATGCCTATAGATAAAGGTATTGCTTTAGGCACAGATAAATGTGCTAAACTTAAGTCTGTCTCTTATAAACAAACACTTCTTTTCATTCTAAGAAGTGTGGAACGACAAGTCTGTCTGATATATCCTGTTCAGACTGACTGCTAGAGGTACTAGAGGTGAAGAGTATAGATATATATATCTCCAAAAGTTCCTTTGGCCCGATATAACTGTCAAAGAGCTGAACTAAAATAATTAAATTAATGAGTTACGATATATAGAGAGATATATTGCAAAAAGTCTAACTGTGCCTTCGTGGGCACCTACCTCGAATAAAAAAGCTAAACTAGCTGTCAAAAACCCTGATAAGTGAAGAATAAATCTGAATCTAAGTGCCCTGATAAGCGTGATGTAGACTGTGGATTTCAGAGTTCTGTGCGCAAATGCCTACATATGTAAGCACAGATAGAGAATGAAAATACCCCAGCCCAGAAAAGCTTAGATCAGAGAGTAACTAAAATAATGATGGCTAAGTCCCACCAGAGAGTGCAAAAAACGATGAATAAAGGCTAAGGCTAAGGTAATTCAAAAAAGAGATCTCCCATTTTGACCCTACATGACCCTGTTGAGTGAGCATGGACACCCCGGAGGAATTTTTCCAGCACATTTTGCATCCATGCATTTCTAGGCCGTGTATTTAATAAAGTGGGCAGTGAGAGGTTTTCTTTTGTTTTTTTTTTCCAGGTTACCTTTAATATCCTATAATTGATCATTTACTAGTTCCGTGTAATTATCGATATTATCTATTACATTATACTCCGGTTTGTTTGTTGTATCAATATTTCATTTGTGTCATATTGATTGTTCATTTTATTATTATATTTTAAATTTTTCAATAAAAACTATTTGAAAAGAATGCCGAAATCCTACTACTCACTTTTTGATAACAAATTTGATCCTGTTGCCAACCTGTATTATCTTCTCCAGCCTTGGGATCCCATACCAGGAGGGGCTCCTGAAAGGTATATTATCAGGCAATCCCTCAACATACATATCACTGGGGTTGGCCTCAAATTTCTGATATGGTACAGGCATAGGTTCAGTTTTTCCCAAAGCATCAGCTGTAAAAAAATAAAATTAAAAAAATCCAGAAAAACATCAGTAGGCAAAAAACAGAAAAAGGTTCAATAATAAACCTTCAGCACTGGTCGTCCCTACTATTACCTTATTAAGGCTTAATTTGTCCACTTTGTTTTCCCTCCCTGTTTTTTCTCTCTTTTTTCCCCCACCTGCCTCCCATTTCCTCTTTGCTCGTCTTCCCTTTCTCTTCTTTCCATTCCCCCTTTGTTTTCTCATCTCTCTATAGCTTTGAGAGATTAAAAAAATTACAATGAAAAAAAAAAAAAAAAACTGGGAATTGACAGTGTTCATATTTTTACGTTATACACAAATTAGTGAATTGGAGCTTGTTGGTGCATAAACCACAGTGCAGCTCTTACAACACCAGTGAGGTAAACCACCACAACAACACACAAACCACAATATATGAAATATATGGTGTGAGCACACAAATGTGAAACACCAATGTTATACTTATACGTAAAATCTTATTATAGTACAATATGATCAATCAGTGTATATCTGAAAAATAAGAAGAGAAATAACAGCATAATATGTAAAAAAAAATAAGAGCAATGCATCTTCTTTAATCAAATTACTCACATTATTCAGAGCCAATCCTAGGCTCCATGTGTCAGCCCTCTTCCCAGGCTGAAATTGAAATATAACTCCAACTCCAAAGATTGTAAAACACAATTAATTGATCAAAAACAGTCAAAAACCAGCAGTAAAGGATTGTAAACAATACCGTAATCATTAAACCGCTGGCCCCAAAACAAGTGTTTCGACATATTGTCTTCATCAGGTAGGTTCTCTGCCTCTTTCCATCTCCATTTAAATAGGGCTAAAATTCCTGCATTACGACACTTTCACAATTAGTCATGTCTTCCGGCCCCGGATGTGACATATATCAAGACCAGAATCACATGATTTGATTATAGAAGATATACTGCTCTTATTTTATATGCTATATTATTTCCCATTTAGTTTTTTCAGATAAACATTTCATTGGTGTTTCACATTTGTACATTGACACTATATTGTATGTTTCATATATTCAGTGTTTATGTTTTTACCTTTATATTATTCCTGACTGTATTATGTCTCCTGAAGTAATGCAAATTTTTATGCTCATCTGTGTTTATGGCTTAAATGAGTCTGTTACCCACATATGTGATTTTTTTTTTTCTTGATGTCATTTCAATAAAAATTAATTTTGAAAAAATGCAGTACTGATCATGTTTTAAATGGGAAAAAAAATGTTTTGGCTAAATAATATATCAAGACAGTGTTATATTTTACATTTGATGCATTGTGTGAGTTTTTCCAACCTAAATGACTACATAGAACAATACAATTAACATGTTCCTACAGGTTTTATTTTCATTGCTGCCTCCAATCTTAACCTTATAAGTAACCAGTTTCACCTCACTGACGATATCTTTATAACTCTAGACAAAATGCCACACCTCAATTGTAAGGGCACTTTAAAGGATGAAAACATGCCATCTCTTTAAAAAAAAAAAAAAAAACCCTCTCTCTCGTGTCAACTATCCCATCCTTTTACCTATCATACCATCATACCAATGTTCCTCGATTTTATAAACTTTGAAATTAATCTCCTTTGTCTCTGAAGGTTTCTACATTATGGAAGTTAATATCTGGAGTGAAACTAATTAATATATAGACTAGTTAAGTAATGGAAATATACTTACCAAACTTTTTACAAAACAGCTGATCAACAATTTTTCTTAGCTTTGTTATTCTGGCATACCATTCTTCTTTCACTAACAAAACAGATAAAAGGTAAAAGTCACTATTTGCTTACTACTGGTATGGGGAACACGTGTTGATTTCATATGGTGATATAAGCGGTTTACATTTCAGAATTACTGAAACACTGCAGAATATTTTGCGTGGCATATCAAGATTCATTAAAGATACACTCCAGGCACCAGCACAACATCAAAGCAGTGAGATTTTGACCTAAATTATTTGTTTTTGTCTAATTATCATTGTGTTTAGTTTTTGTAAAAATAAGAAAATAAATGCTCTACATCATAATCCTTTGTCCTCTAACAATTTAGAAAATACTAAGTGTGTTAAAAAATGATAAGCTTAGAGTCATGTCTACAAATGCTTTCAGTTTAGGGAATAAGATCCATGAACTTGTGGCAATAGTGGCATAATATAATAAGAAAAATAACAGATATAGCAATACCAAGGTACTCTTTATATAGAAAAGACAGGGAATGCAAGAAAGGGGGAGGGGTGACCTTATATGCCAAGGATAGCCTAAAATCTAGCCTAATAAAATTAATTAGGCAAACATAGAGTTCGTTTGGGTTACGTTAGAATTTGGTAAGCGCACAGTAACTTGTGTAGGTGTGATTTATAGGCCTCCAGGACAAAAAGAGTTAGATAATCTGCTAGTTGAGGAAATAGCTAAACGACAATGAAGGGGGAAGTTATCAGCATGGGGACTTTAATCTTCCTGATGTGAACTGGAAAATCAAAACAGCTGCTTGTGCCAGGAGCACACATATTCTAAACTCAATACTGGGATTGTCTCTAAAACAAGTCATTGAGAAGCCAACTCCTAAAGAGGCCATACTAGATTTAATGGAGATTTGATATCAGACATTACTGTAGGTGAGTGTTTAGGATCCAGTGATCATCAGTCAGTGTGGTTTAATATAAGAACAGTGACTGGGTCACACCACACAATAAAAAGTTTTAGACTTTAGAAAAACAGACTTTTCTAAAATTAGAACAGGTGTAAAGAAGTCATTATCAGACTGCAGCAGTTTAAATGGAGTCCAAGAGAAATGGGAAAAGTTGCACTGCTGAAGGCAACAGAAAATTGCATTAGGCTAGTCAGTAAAAGCAAAACATTTTAGAAACCACTGTGGTACTCTGCAGATGTGGCCAAAATAGTAAAAATCTAAGCTAAGCAGGTTGTAAGAGCTTACAAATCACACACAGAAGAGAAAATAGCACAGTCAGTAAAAAAGGGGGATAAAACATTTTTTAGATACATAAATGAGAAAAGAAAAGTAAAACAAGAATTAGTTAGATTAAAAACAAAAGAAGGAAGGTATGTAGAAGAGGATAAAGGTCTAGCTGACTGCCTCAATGAATATTTTTGTTCTGTATTTACAGATGAAAATGAAGGAAATGGACCTCAGTTGAGAAAAAGGATAAATGAGTCATTTATTACACGTGAGTTTACAGAGGAAGAGGTTCTATTTAAACTGTCAAAAGTAAAGACAAATAAGTCAATGGGACCTGATGGAATACACCCAAAGCTATTAAAAGAGCTTAGTGGTGTACTAGCAAAACCATTAACAGATTTATTTAACCAATCATTGTTAACAGGAGTAGTCCCAGATGATTGGAAGTTAGCGAATGTTGTGCCCATTTACAAGAAAGGTAATAGGGAGGAGTCGGGCAACTATAGGCCAGTAAGCCTTACTTCAGTAGTGGGGAAAGTGATGGAAACCATGTTAAAGGATAGGATTGATGAACATCTAAAAACAGATGGATTTCAAGATCAGAGACAACATGGGTTTACTTCAGGGAGATCATGCCAAACTAATCTTATTGATTTTTTGATTGGGTAACTAAAATTATAGATCAGGGTGGTGCAGTAGACATTGCTTACCTAGATTTCAGTAAGGCTTTTGACACTGTTGCACATAGAAGGCTTATCCATAAACTGCAATCTTTAAGTTTGGATTCAAATATTGTTGAATGGGTAAGGCAGTGGCTGAGTGACAGGCAACAGAGGGTTGTAGTTAATGGAATATATTCGAAGCTTGGACTTGTCACCAGTGGGGTACCTCAGGGATCTGTACTTGGACCCATTCTCTTTAATATTTTTATTAGTGATATTGCAGGAGGTCTTGATGGTAAGGTATGTCTTTTTGCTGATGATACTAAGATATGTAACAGGGTTGATGTTCCAGGAGGGATAAGCCAAATGACAAATGATTTAGGTAAACTAGAAAAATGGTCAGAATTGTGGCAACTGACATTTAATGTGGATAAGTGCAAGATAATGCATCTTGGACGTAAAAACCCAAGGGCAGAGTACAGCATATTTGATAGAGTCCTAACCTCAACATCTGAGGAAAGGGATTTAGGGGTGATTATTTCTGATGACTTAAAGGTAGGCAGACAATGTAATAGAGCAGCAGGAAATGCTAGCAGAATGCTTGGTTGTATAGGGAGAGGTATTAGCAGTAGAAAGAGGGAAGTGCTAATGCCATTGTACAGAACACTGGTGAGACCTCACTTGGAGTATTGTACACAGTACTGGAGACCGTATCTTCAGAAGGATATTGATACCTTAGAGAGAGGTTCAGAGAAGGGCTACTAAACTGGTTCATGGATTGCAGGATAAAACTTACCAGGAAAGGTTAAAGGATCTTAACATGTATAGCTTGGAGGAAAGACGAGACAGGGGGAAATGATAGAAACATTTAAATACATAAAGGGAATCAACACAGTAAAGGAAGAGACTATATTTAAAAGAAGAAAAACTACCACAACAAGAGGACATAGTCTTAAATTAGAGGGACAAAGGTTTAAAAATAATATCAGGAAGTATTACTTTACTGAGAGGGTGGTGGATGCATGAAATAGCCTTCCAGCTGAAGTGGTAGAGGTTAACACAGTAAAGGAGTTTAAGCATGTGTGGGATAGGCATAAGGCTATCCTAACTATAAGATAAGGCTAGGGACTAATTAAAGTATTAAGAAAATTGGGCAGACTAGATGGGTCTGCCATCACATTCTATGTTTCTCCTTTCCTGCGGGTTACTGTACTTGTGCAAAGGTCCCTTTTGTCCCTCCTAACTTGCAGTGTCCAATAACAAAGTTTTATGTCATCAGAAAGCACAGTAAAGCCTTCTGGACAGTTGCAGTATAGCTCACTACTTTATAAGCAGAAAGCTCATAACTGAACTAGAACTCTCAGGAACCCCAGCTTTAAGCAGAACTGTATTCAAGTACACACAGCTTTGAGATCTGCTAAAACAGTCACCAATTTAGCAGTTCAGATGCTACAGAACTTACGAATATTCAAATAACGAAGATACTGTTAGCTAAGCTACATCCTGGAAAGAGCAATGTTCAAGGCCAAAGTAATGTGTGGGAATTAGAACATAATGAAGGAATGTTAAAAAGGAGTATGCTTGATGATGGATTATCTATACAGCGCACTGCTTAGATTGTGATTGCCCATTTAAATGATGACATTTTGAGCGTTTTGTTAATTCTGTATTTATTTATTATTTTCCTATACAATACAGGATTATAAGTGAACAAATGTCGCTTACCAGATTTGTTTGTTATTTTTGTGTAAGCACACCATATGCATATAGTTATACTATGTAGAAGGTTAAAGAGGAAGGTGGAGAAGTAACACGTAAGAAGACAGAGCATCATTTAAAGAACTGGACATACAAGACTGGTTATGGCATTTTAAAAACCTACAAAGTGAAACAGTAAAAGGCATGTGTCAGTATAAACAAGCAAGTAAATTGTTTTGCACTAGACTCTAGTGTCAAAGTTACTGTAAGTGCGAAATTACAGTGTATTGTACATAGCTTTGTATATGGATTTTTGTATTATTGTTGCGGGATTTTGTAGTACTTCACAAATGTATCCAGTCTATGGACATAGGTTTGTGTTCATACGTGTTACATACCTCCTGTGTTTTGTTTTTCAATGAGTAAGGGTTCTCTTGCAGAAGTCAAAACCTCAGGTCTTTGAGTAGAAAAATGAAAGAAAAACAAAGTTACATTCATCATTACATTTAAGCAGCTTACATATTTAAACACATATTTTGTACAAATTCAGTAGCTGTCATCTATTTTTTCAAAACTGAACGCAAAGGATTTATTTTTCTACACTACTTCAAAAGGTGGATCATGCACTTGCAGCATCCAACACACCTTAGTTTATCTTCGGAACGATCAAGTATGCTAATCCTGGATAACTATACACTTTCACTTTCTCCTTCCCCATAAAGCAATTAATTTAGTAAACTTTTTAGGGAACGTAATAAAGAAGAATTGTAATCCAAGGTCAAACATTATTTTAAGAGTTAAAGTATGTCGTGTTGATTCATATAACTAAACTGTTGTTTAAAGGGTTTTTCCAAGAACAAAGACCAATTCAGTATTTTGAAGTGGTCATGATGCAAGGATCTTGCATGTACAATATTTCAGTGTGAAATGCTGCACATACAGAGATATTTGGACTACCTGCCAGAGGTGTAACTCACTAATGTCAATTCTGTGCATATTCTGTGCACAGACACTCATTTATTGTCTGAGAGCGCTCAGCCAGTGAAGGGATGGCAGGATTGGCTTACGACTTCTGCAGCTCCATTACAGGAGTATCTACGCCTGGTGGGACCGGGTAAGAGGGCAAACCATTGCATTACAAAACATTTTGTCCCATTACCAGGAAAAGGTGCCAAGGTTTGATGCTTAAGAGTAATCCTTTAAGTGACTACTTTTGAAATGGGTCACTGAACCAATTTTGCAAATAAAGAATAGTTTGCCAAGCATGAAGCGCTTATGTATACTTATGTAATTTTCCTATCAAAACAATGAAAGAACTCCAGTGGATTAAGTATATTCTCCCTCTTTCTCTGCTCCCTCACATTGTGCTTTGCTGTGTGGACAGCTCTGAGATATATCATCAGTTGTTTTCCCAGCATAATGTTACTGAAAGGTTCCACAGCACAGTGTAGCAAGAGAGTAAAGAGAGAATGATAAGTGAGTTGGGGAAACCTTGATTCATTCTCTTACAAAGCACAATGATACAAATACCAATCTGGCAGTCAGGACCAGCAGAGGGAAAAGTAGGAACACCATTCCCATTTGATCCCATTGCACTCAAGACCTGTATCCAACTGTACGCTCACCCCCACCCTCAAAACAAAGTAACTAAAAAAAAAAAAAAAGATTCACTTTTTGATCACAAATCGTATTCGTTCCTTGGCTAACAGTATCCTTTCGAGGCGTGGAATTCCATAAGTCGAAGGTCTCCTAAAAGGAATTCCTTCTGGGAGTCCTTCCACATATAAATCTTCTGTATTGGATTGGAAGAGGTGATATGGAATTGATACCGAATCTGTGGTATTTATAGCTAAGGCTAAGGAAAAAAAGAAAAAAAACAACAACAATGAGATACAAACGTTACACATAATAAAACTGATTTCTTAAAGTTACAGTAAAAAATGAAGACGTATCAAAAAGCTGATAGTACTAACAGATTGTACTAAACTATTGTTCTCAAATCAACACAAGATGCCCCACTGATAAAAACCTGTTTGAGAATGGGTATTGTAAATGCCTTAAACATCATACAAGAGAACCAAGAGACATCAGATAATAACTGAATTTACTAAACATGTTCACTATATTAAATTTTATTTATCTATACAGATGAATTCTGCTTAATTGTAAAACAAAGTGAAGATTACAAAAAGCAAAAAAAAACTTCTACTAAAAGGTAGCAGAGAAATTGAGTTAGGCATAAGTATAGACAATACTTGCACTCAGCTCTCAATGAAAGACTGACTAGTTTGCCACCCAAACCTGCGAATGTTCTATCAGCACAATTATTTTTATAACTATTATTTTGATGGTGCAGTCATTGTGGGCGAACTCAGGGAGAAATAAAATAAAAATCTCATCATTAAATAAATGTCACAGTGATTACAAGGAAGCAAAGATGTATGAGTTTTTGTTTGACCCTGTCATTATTCCCTTGTGTCTATCTTACTTGATGCTCTGCATTATCACACAGGCATCTGCATACTAGACTTGCGCAAGAATGCATTTCAGCTGGTCCGAAAAAAATTTAATCTACACACAAGTGAAGCAATCTGCCCGGGATACACCTATGGGGTCGAATTCATTAAATAAAACTCTGCAGGTGAATACCGGACGGATCAATTAGTTTTGACTTAGAACTGAAATAATTTGATTTGTTTGTACCAGATGAAAGCATTTGTGCACATGTCTACTGCATACTACATCATGAGTGGGCCTTGGTGGCCCTCTCAGAGACACCAGAGAAGTAAATGATGTGCAGTTTATTCATTCATACCATATTTTCTCTCAAACAATGCCTCCACTTGTTTCCTTAGTTCTGTAATTCGTTCATTCCACTTATCTGCAAAGGAAAATAACACAAAATAGAGATACATAGTTTATGTAGTTAGACCAATGCCTCTAAAAGAAACACTCCATTGATTTTTTTATTTTATTGTTTAGTATATGTACCTACAAAGAAAACATTCATCTATGTTTTCTGCATGTTTTTTTGAAGGTATATAAAAACACAGCTTCACATAATAGTAATACAAAATAAAGCACTCAATGTTCCCACCATAATTTCAGTTATTAGGTAGCTGGCATTACCTGATGGGTATTTAAAACACTACAATCCTCTACAACAGCGTTTCCCAATTGGTGTTCCATGGCGATTTGCCCATTGGATGGCCCAGGCACTTAGAGCCACCCGACCGGTATCACTGAACAGGGGGCCAGTCAGGTGCTTTTAATCCCGTAAGCGGGCCCCTGTAGTATAGGATGCTGGAAAGGAAGTGACAATCAGTCACTTCCTCCCAGACTTGGAGAGCGCTGGCCAAATGGAGAGAGGCAGTAGCGGGAGGGAGCTGCTGTAGACTCCACACACCAGCAGCAAGCAGCACTCTAAGCATGCCATTCCTGCAGAAAAAGATAAGAGGGTGGCTGCAAAATTTAAACATTATGACTTGTGTGTGGTGTATCTGAGTGTATGTGATATTGTGTATCTGTATGTCAGTGTATGTACTAGTGTGTGTATCTGTGTGTCAGTGTATCGGTCAGTGTGTGTATCTATGTATGTGTCAGTGTGTCCATCTGCCAGTGTGTGTATCTGTATGTCAGTGTGTGTGTATCTGTGTGTATGTGTATCTGTGTCAGTGTATCTTGTTTGTATATCTGTCCATGTGTGTATCTGAGTGTGTGTATGTCAGTCAGTGTGTTTGTTTGTTAATGTGTATGTATATCTGCTAGAGACCTGTAGTCTTTCCCCTTTATGGAATTTGCTGGCGCTATATAAATAATAATAATAATAATAATAATAATATTAATAATAATTGCAGGTACAGACCACGGAATTGACCAATCAGAGTGTTCTCACGGAAAGCCCTTTGTGCTGGAGCCCTGAGCATGTGCTATTTTCCAATAATCTGTAACACACCTCATTGGCAGTGCGCATGACACTTCTGGATGCTCTGTAAAGCTAACCGAAGCAGAAGAAAACCTCTCCAACGATCTGTGTGACAGTCAGAGAGGTGTTTTTGCACCCAGTTATAAATGTGCCAATTTCTACTCACAGATTGTAAGCTCATTTGTGCATGGCCTTCTTCACCGCTTGTCTCTGTTATATTCTACATGTAACATTACTTGTTGTCAGATATTTTATAATTGTAAAGCACTGTTGAATATGTTGGTGCTATATAATTTATAATAATATTTCCCCCCCAGTTAATAAAAGAGCCCGGATCCAGACAAGCAAAGAGTTGCAGCAAGCTGAAGGGCTTAATGTATCTGGAATGTTCCTTTAGGACACAACAATTAAATAAACCTAATTTATCGCTATTCTTGGTTTCTCAAATATACACCTATAAAATATTCCATAAGAATCATAAAGAAACATTCCGTCTATAGAAGTCAATGAATATACTTACCAAAGTTAAACTCTCGTGTTTTTCTTTTGCATTGTGTTGACTGATCAATGATAAGCTCTGTACTTTTCTTCTTCTTATGTGGTGGCGAGTAGTCATCTTCTTGGGCACAAAAGAACAACAGAATTGACTTTTAGAAAATGATGCAAACAACCATGATCAGCATTTATATATCCTTCCAATTAATCATTTCATAGCAATGTGATTGGCTGGAATCAAGACAATATTACAATATAAAAATGCAAACAAGCCCACACTGAACAACCTGTATCTACAAACAACCACTCCTTTGTAAAATCGGTTGTACCTGGCTCACTTCCATAATGAGCCCTCTTTTTGATTCCTGCTACATAAACATATGATTACAACCATTTATATTCTGGCTGTGGTCATCCAAGCAGTAGAGAAGATATGTTACCCTATATTCAATTGTTTATGGTCCTCTCACTTTATTCCCTAGTACCCCTTGTTGCCTTACACTGTGCACCTCCACTGCTAGTAGACAACTGCATAATACAGGTCAGATGATTCCTCTGTACAAAAAAAATGCACTAAACTCAATACATAAATTAGAAAGCAAAATATTTGAGTTCTAATATTTTTTTTAAAAGCATCTCTAAGCAGAATACTTCTCTTCTGGTAGTAAAAGCTAAAAAGAAGCAATGGAGAACAAATATATCGTCCTTATAGACGAAAATAAATCAAGATATCTAATTTGCAAAGCAAGCAGGCTTAAACCTGCACAAAATGGTTCATGGTTATCTATGCAGTGTCTTTACGCTTAGATATGCAATGTGTGGGGGACAGACTGTTTTATTCATACCCATCATAGCAGTCTTCAGTTGACAATAATTTTGATTTATATAAGCAGAAGTGACAAATCATCTTTAGAGTTAGCACAAATACATATCACATGCACTGATCACTGACTTTGTTACAACGATCACTAACCGTGCAGCTGCATTTAGCATGCATGTGAAATAAAGAAGTATTGCTATATTATTTAACCCCTTCATTACCGAAAAATTTTGATTGGAAAAAATATCAGCATATTATTGATGTGAAGGAAGGGATGCCTAGCTAGCATATAAGCATACCATAACACAGCAATGTTTTGTAGAGATAGTTTGCAGACGGAAAAATAAATAAATTAAAATTACATAAATTTTACACAATTAGATTTTTTTCACTTATTCATTCATCCTTTATAAAAATTATTTGGGAAATGAATAGCTCTGGAAAGTATACAGTGTCCTTTATCTTGCAATATTTCACACAGGGTCTGAAATGTTATTTTAAAAGCAAAACTTCAATTATTCTCACATACAGTACATGTGACAAAATAGATGCAAAGACCTATAAGCAAAGTGTTGGACTATTTTTATGTAAGGACCCTGAAGGCATTACTAAGCAGTACAGCCCACTAAAACTTGAAACAGAATATAAAAAGAATGCCCACAATTTAGCATAGTGCCCGCATACAGTAAAAACAGTTAACTCATACGGACAATGAAATGATCCATTCACTCCTCCCCTCCCTGAAAGTAGGAATAATATCTCCCATTGAAAGTTACTTTACTGTTCTGAACCAAGTGATGAACTTACATTTCAACAAATTTGCAGGCATTATATCTGTGACTAGTGGCTTCTGACAAAGAAATGTGTTCCTCTATAGCCTGGTTAAACATAACTTAATGTATTAATGAGGGTGAGAGACTTTGTGGATTAGATATTATACTGTATAATACATGAAAATAAAAAAAACTTTTATACTAGATTTGGGTACTGAAGGGGTTAAATGGAATGGTTTCTCGCCTTTTTTTCCATTTTAGTTTATAAAACTAACCTTCTATGGTGACCTCAACTTCAGGGTCCTCACTTGTTTCAGAAGGCGCTTGTAGCGTTGAATCTTAGAAGAAGAAAGAAGAAGAAGCCCAAATAACACTACTTATTTGCCTTTATCGTATAATGACAACTCCATTGATTGATCTTCAAGTATCCTACTTGTGGGCTTCTCTGTACCAAAAACGTGTGCAGCTCCATACTCGATTACAGTCAATAATAGCCAATCACACATCAAGATATAGTTATATATCTCATCTTGTGAAAAAAATCTTGGCATTGACACGTATTTTAGAATAATTCGATATCATTACTGTAAGTATGATATTGTCATTGCTCCAAATAATACAGTATACGGAGAAGAATATATTGAGTATTTCCCATCTTAACAATAAGTTGTTTAATCTACTGATGTACTCCTGGACCTGCCTACTATATTAAAGGAACACTCCATTTATTTTTTCAATAATTTAAAAGATATACTGCCAATGAGAAAATGCATACATTTTGTTCTGCCTGTTTTCTTCATATACAACTTAGGTGTATATAAAAAAAACAAAAACAAAACAACAACAACAAAAAAACACCCCACATATTGCAAAAGATGCAGATCTTTTATCTACAGCCTTTGTAAGCTTTCAGTCTGTGTGTCACTGAGAAGCCTCTGTGCTGGAGCCAGGAGTGCGCACACAACTATTCAATGCTTCTCAAGGAACTATAATACAGCTCATTCATAAGGGGAATACACAAGTGTGCGCTAGCACAGCGCACCTGCCGTTTGCATTAGCTCCATAGAGCTAACGGAAGAGGAATACAACCTCTCTTGCTTTCAGATTTACAGGCAGGGAAGTGTTTCTGCCATGAAAAGTGCCAATTCCTGAAGTCTTTTATATGTATGGAGTATCCTGTTAGACTAAAATAAACTAGTTTCAGCCTAATGTATTTTGGGGGTAAATTCAGATTTTTACTTTATGGAGCACTGTAGGGTAATTGCAGGGATATTGACTCCGTCAAATCATGTTCGATATTATTGATATAAATTCTGTGAGAGAACACTTCTCTTCCAATTCATTTTATCCTCAGATAGGCAAATTTAAAGTAGAAAAGAAAATCGGTGAGGGGCTACACTGTGGGATAACGGGGAACCCAAACGTCAAACCGCTTGCTCAGATAGAGAAAAAGTGAACTTCGAAGGGCAATTATTACAATCTATAATCACAGCATCAATTATGGAACTGAATTGGTCAAACCCTTCAAATTGTTTTTTTTAAACAATTTAATACAGGGCAGAGTATTCAAGATTAGGAAAAGAAGAAATTAAAATCATACACAGGAGAAAAAATACAAAGAAGAAGAAGTTAAGATAAATGGAAACATGAAAATAGGAAATGAGCACTAGTTCAATTATTTGGAAAAGTATGAGAATTCCTTCATTCTTTTGAAATAATCTATATTACCAACAGCAAGCAGTGTGCATTACATCATGTTCTTTTTTTGAGGCACACAAATCAAACTGCAGCAATGAACTGAGAAAGTAAGACTAAAAAAAAAAATGTAAGCTAGATAAATACCATCTAATAACGTATGGGAAAATATATCTTTGTGTGCAAAGAAATAGTAATAAATTCAATACCATTCTTAGCACTAAGTAGTTATTGTTTACATTTACTCTAACATGATTGCTCTATTTTTTAGCATTTTACAAGTGAGGGGGGAAAAGGATCTTCAGAGATAGGTTATACTACTGTATATAGTAAGTCACACATAGGAGGCTCAATAATCATTATAAATATAAAACAGAAACCAAAAGTAGACAGTACATAAAATTCTAAGCTGTTCTACCATTTGTGAGTTCCGTTGTGGTTTCAGAAGTGTTTTAATAAAATCAATATATTTGAATATAAAATGTCATACTGGCTCCAAGAAAGCCACAACCCTTGGATATGGCTGAATTTTTGTATGACTGCATTTCAAGCCCTCTACGGAGCTTTCATTTCAGTTTTCACTTAGTGATATTGGAGTAAAATAGGTTATAAGTTGAGAAACAGTAGAGATGCTTGATGTGGGTTATATCCACACATTGTTTTGCACGAACGTCAGTGCTTGGTATGGTTGCAATCCACCATTTTGGTGGACAGTTTATCGTAATCTGGTCTCACCAGCCCAAATGCTATGTATAAGGATCACAGAAAGGGTTTGAAAACAAGAGAGAACAGGCTGCCTTAATGCACATAAAATTGTCAAGACTTAATTTTAAGATGCTCTGTAGTTAAAAAAATGTAAAATATAGCAATCCATCACTAGGAACCTTATATTCGAATATCAACTCAAAATGAAAACCCCCATTTACATCACATTCTTGTACATGCAAACTAGGGGGGGAAAAAACGTCCAATATGCAATAAGATTTATAAAGCTCTTCATTTTCTATTGTGCCCGTAACACTATTGGGCTCCAAGTTATGTGTTTATATTATAAACGCTAATAATAATCCATATATTTATTTTGCTTTCATGAATAAATTTTGAATTTAGATTTCTTATCAATGCATGTTCTATTGTAATGGACTTTTCTACTGTGTCTTGTATAATAGATGCGGGAATAATAATAAAGAAAATTAAAGGGACACTATAGTCACCGGAACAACTAGAGCTTTTAAATGCAAACACTACTTTTTTAGAGAAAATGCAGTGTTTACATTACTGTCTAATAACACACCTCTAGTAGCAGTCACACAGACAGCCACTAGATGTGCTTCCTGGATCACAACTGCATGGACGTGCTGAATGTTCCCCACAAAGATGCATTTATTCAAAGCTCCTCTATGAGGAGATGCTGGTTGGCACAGAGCGGTGTTTTGCCACGCATGTGCAAGAGCCTTCCAATGTTTTCCCGTGGAAAAGCAATGGATTGGTTGAGATCGTCAAGAGACCTGCAGAGCAGTGAAATAAAGGTGAGTGTTACATCTTTTTAATGACGCCGGAAGGGAAGGGTTGTTAAATAGCCTCATTTCAAATATTTATCAGTAGTGTTTCTACAAAATCAACTACCATTTGCAATTAATTAATTCTTTTTTTATTTTCTTTGCATTATTTTCCAAATGTCATGTTAACTTTGAATAACTATATATCCAGGTCTACTGATCAGGTTAAAACAAAAATAGGAAAATGTAAACAAATGTATTCATCCATACATTCATCCATGAAAGTGCAAAGATGGAAATATGGAATTACTTACCCTTTAGTGTGTTTGTATTTAGAATATATGCATGTATATACACAGACACATGCGTAATTATTTATACAGTTAAAAAAAAATTACAACATGTAATCGTACAATTTGCGTTTGTACATCCTAGGCTACCGTACCCGATATGATGTCATCACATGGTACGCAAGGAGAACGGTTATTTTGGCGGGAGTGCTAGCCTATTTAAGAATATTTGTTGTTTTTATTAACCAGGGCCATGGAAGGGACACTGTTTCCCAAGAGTGCAGCCCATGATTCATCTGTCATTATTTCTTGGATATTTTATGTTTTTGTGCACAGATTTTTGTATATATTTTTATTTTTTTTAGGTTTGAAAAGATTTCTGCATCAATTTTTGACTGTATGATTTATTACTTTGCTGTGGAATCGTACAGAGTATAACCAATGAGACATCTGGTATATCACATATGGATATTGTCCTGCAGGGGCTACTATTTGATTGATGGGACTTCCGTTCTTTATACTTTCTGACAGTCATACCTTAGACATACAGGAATGTTGGAAAACAGAGTTGATGTATATGAGCACTTATTGAAGGGCAAGTGTTCTATCGATTGACAGTACAAAAAAAAAAAAATTTATAATCTCTTAGCTGCTACCACTGTACTGTAATGTGCAATTCTCCAACAATCACATCAAAGCAAGAATTTTTTGTACCAGATTCAGTGGTTCACTTAAATATGTGAATAAAACTTAATAGTCAATGACACTTGGGCACCCATGACCATGACGCAGGTTCACCGATTGTCCTTCCCTGCACATCTTTTGAAAAGTCCTAACCACTGCATACCGGGAACACCCCACAAGACTTGCCATTTTGGAGATGCTCTGACTAGGGATCGACCGATATTGATTTTTTAGAGGCGATACCGATATTCTGTGAACTTTCAGGCAGATAGCCGATATAATTTGCCGATATTCTGTACATTTACCATTTTGGAAAATAAAAACTATTTCTAAAGGTAAATGCACAAAATATACATGCCACATGTAGTGGATGCAGTGTGTTTAGACAGGGGAGCTGTGTGTGTTTGTGTAGTGGATGCAGCGTGTGTTTGTGTAGTGTGTGTAGTGGATGCATTGTGTGTTTGTGTAGTGTGTGTTGAGGATGCAATGTGTGTTTGTGTAGTGGATGCAGTGTGTATTTGTCAAGTGTGTGTAGTGGATGCAGTGTGTATTAGTGTAGTGTGTATATAATGAAAGCAGAGAGTTTGTGTAGTGTGTGGGTAGTGTGCATAAAGTGAATGATGTATATACTAAATGCAAAGTGTGTGTGTGTGTATTTGTGTAGTGTGTGTGTGTGTATAGTGAATGTAGTGTGTTTATATAATGCAGAGTGTGTGTGTTTGTATAGTGTGTGTATATAATGCAGTGTGTTTGTGTAGTGTGCATTATATAAACACACTACACAAACACACTGGCGGTCCTAGGAGGTATTATCGGCAATATCGGTATCTGAATTGGCCGATACCGATATTGCCGAAAATACCGAATATTGGCCGATTATATCGGTAAAACCGATAATCGGTCGATCCCTAGCTCTGACCCAGTTGTCTAGCAATCAACTGACTGTTCACTTGCTATGTAATACATCCCACCCCTTAGCAGGTGCCATTGTAACAATATGATCAATTTTATTCAGTTCACTTGTAATAGGTTTTAAATGTTGTAGCTGATCAGTTTGTTTTAGAAGGACTTTTATGTTGACTATTTCACAGACCCTCTTGCATCAGTCTCTTTAATTATGATGGGAGATTTTGTTTATAGTATGTTTTCCCCATTATACTGTTTTAATGACATTATTTTTGTCTATTGATATTTCACAAATTTTTACACATGGAAAAACACCCTTCATACTTTCCATAATAATCCATGCAACAGCAAAGTTATTTTAAAAAAATAGGTAATTTATTAAGTGTAATTATGGGAAATATTTTAAGTAATTACCAGGGAAACTGTTTAAATGTTCCGTTAACTGTGCCTGTTTTAGAATTGTTTACTAAAAATTGTTCTTCATATAAAAATGGCACGAAATTTGATTGCATAGTGTATGCATACACAAATCTAATTATTATATTGGCATGGATTTATCTAATTATACTTTATTATCACAGCTGTCTCTAATGCAAATCCACACAAAAAATACACTCTAACCTTCAACGTGGTCCATTTCAGCTCCTTCACTGGACTCTTCAACAAAACCGTATCCTTTAAACAGAAGAAACCAAAAATTAGTATTTTGCAAATGATACCTCAACTAAATTATTAGTAAACTGAGACATATTAATAGTTTCTGATCAGGAAACAAGATCTACATAAGTGTGACTCTATGACTTGGCAATGCAACGGACTATAAGCAGTAAATGCTTACAACTTCTTAAGTTTGTTCATTCAGGACCACCTATACTGTGCCAGTTTTCATGATGCTCTCACAGTTGGTTACCCTATTCATCAAGAAGCAGTTAAATCCTTAAAAAAATATATGTTGCATGCAGACTAACTATTGCGTTGAGCATATGTACAATCATCTTAACCTGGCCTTTTTTTGCCAACTGCAATCTTTACATTTATGTCATATAGCCACCAAGGCCAATAATAAAGGAAAAATATTAAAAGTGGTATTGCCTTTTGTTGTGTAAAATCAAAAGTTAATAGTAATACACAATGAATTGTACTAAATGTGTGATCTGAACGAAGAGATCAACAGACATTTTTTTCTGGACCAAAGCACAAATGTAAGGATCGCCACAGTGTAAAGAATACAAACATGTACAGCTGTATAGCTGTAGTTTTGGTGCCCGTTCCCCCTGTTAGAGAAGTAAAAGGTGATTTTACTCACATTTATTCCAACATTGCACCAGTCTCGTCGCGGCTTGCTCCGCGGCAATCCGCCTCCTTGGCGGAGATCATCAAAATTGAACAATCTCGAAGGAAAGCAATGGGAGGATATTGTGCGGCAAAACGCTGTGCTGTGCCATCCAGCAGCTCCTCATAGAGATGCAATGAATCAATGCATCTCCATGGGGATCATCCAGCGTAGTGATGCTGAAAGTCAGTGCTGCACGATCAAGGATGCACCTCTAGTGGACATTTTGAGTGACTGCCATTAGAGGTGTTCCAAGACAGTAATGTAAAAACTGCCTTTTCTCTTAAAGATATCTTATGCACACCAGAACAACCACATTAAGCTGTAGTTGTTCTGGTGACTACAGTATCCCTTTGAGATCGCATAATTAGCAGAAAAGGATAAAAGGAACACTATAGTGTCAGGAATACAAACATGTATTCCCAACACTATAGGTTTAAATAACCATTTAGGACCCCGCTCTCCCTCCTCCCCCCTTCACCTTTTTTCCAGCGTCGTGCAGATCTCGTGGCCGGCACTGCCCCTTCTCCGTCTCCTTGGCTGATATAATTAAATTTGATGATCTCAGCCAATCCAATGTTTTCATGGAGCCAATGTTTGGCTGCGCCAATCAGCATATCCTCATGGAGATGCAATGAATCAATGCATCTACATGGGGAGAGTTCAGTGATTCCATGCACAGTGTAGAGATGCTGAATATCAGTGCTGCACACTATGCAGCACTGACACAGAAATCTCAATTTAAAAAAGGCAGTGTTTACATTAAAAGGCCTGCAGGGACAGGCAGTAGACACCAGAACAACTACATTAAGCTGTAGTTGTTCTGGTGACCATAGTGTCCCCAGATTCAGGGTCCTAGTAAGGCTTTCAGTCTGCCCCCCTCCTTATTTCCTCACGCAGGGTTAGTAAATGAGGCCAAGCAAATTCATGGTTTTGGAGACCCTATTTAATCAGAGCCCTAGGTAGCTGCCTATGGTCGTTTTATTGTTAATCCTGCTCTAATCCAAAGTATAATATACATGGCAATAATAATTAAAAACCAATAAAAATACAACCAAGATTTTGTTTAAAAATCAATGCAACGCAAGATATTATTTGCTTGAACTCAAACACCTCTGTCTATACAATAACAGATATGTCTGAGACAGTTCCAAAAAATAAAAATCACATACTGGATACACAATTCTTTTATTTCAGTTGTAGTTCTCAGTAGACTTCTCTCTGTTAGCATGTGGTGTACAACAAGAACAGTTTTACTACATTAGGGTTATCAAGTTGATACTTGCTTTACTTTTGAGAAGTAATGCACATTTTATCAATGAATCCATCCTTAAACACAATCCAAATGTATTTTATTTCTAGGCGAAAAAGTAAACCTTCTTAGACTAAGTATTTTCAATTGCTTTGGGAGCCTTGTTTAATTACATGTTAATGTAGGAGCAGAGCAAAACATAATAACAATCATGTGTGTTTCTACTGACAAACATTCTTCATTCCAAAGCTAACCAGTAAAGCATTTTACAGACATTTTCCTCATTAATGAAGAGATACATTTGGGTTCTTTTTCTGCCATTGAAAAATGCAGATCCATGAAGTAGCACTGTACCACAACATTGAAAAATAATTAAAATAAAGCCTGGCATGCACAAGCCCAACATTTTTTTAAAAAAATGTAGATGTTCTGTATTTACAAAGCAGAATAATTCGTTTTGATATTCCACAGCACTAAGAGTGTTGCAATAAATAAAGTTTGCCTTTAATAATCTGATTTAGAAATAAAAAAAATTTAAAAAACAAAACAAAAACAAAACTGTTGAAACAAAAGGGTAATAAAGCGAGGAAATTATATCAAGAATTACACAAGTTGGACACAAGCTGGACTGCACATAAGTATAACCTTCTTATCACAGTCTTGGAAAACAAGATAGATGCATATATAAGCAAGCATCACAAAAGGTAGCATACAAATACACCATATGTTTTGGTCTACCAGATTGTATTGATAGGTGTTTGAGTCACAAACAAGATCATAGGTCACTGGCATTATAAGCAGTTGTAAAAAAAATAAAAAAAATAAAACGGTTTAATGAGGTTACATTATAATGTCCAAAGAAGTTGTGTCCTACAGAAGCCTGGCAATGAAGCATGGGAGATGCAGTTCCATAACAGATGGTGGATTAAAAGTGTTCCAGAAGCACATTGTGAACTTTTAAAATTAACGATATACCTATAAAACAATATTCATTTTAATGTACTGCCCCTTTAAAAACAATAATGTATCACCGAAGATCAGTGTGATCTTATAAAGCAGGGGTTCCCAACTCAGTACCTCAAGTACCCCCGACCAGTCCAAGATTTAGGGATTGTCCTGTTGTGCCTAAAGTGTTTATTTTTCTTTCTAAAAACACCTTAGGCACAACTGGGTAATCCCTAAATCCTGGACTGTTTGGGGGTACTTGAGGACTGGGCTAGGAACCTCTGTTCTAAAAGATCCAAGGTCATTAAAATAAGTCAAAATTGTTTTGCTTAGCACTTTTTTCATAAAATAAAACTAACATACAAAATTAAGCCCTGCGCTCAAACTCCTACTACTCCTGGGCATAAAAAAAAGTTACTTGTGCACTATCCCAAATCCCTATGCACATTTAAATACATAGAGGTATTTTAGGATCACTTCAATGCTATTATAGTGTAAGCTCACCTGCCATGTCAAGGAAAACTGCTTAGCTGAGCCCTACACTAACAATTCACCTTGCTGCTTTAGCTAAAATATTTAATAAGATAGAGAGGGGTATTTTTCCACTTATTAACCCTTAATATGGAAAACATGGGGTGGGCAGCAGCAGTATAACATGGCTGTGTAATAAAAAAGCAAATACAAACATACAGAATTAAGCACAGCTTTTAAAAAAACACAACAAATAATGGCATAAATAACTGCTTATCCAAATAGACAAGAACAATATTGGCGGTTAATAAATACATTCATAATCTGGTAAAATTGCAACTATGATATCTGAGATAGCATCATCATAATAAATATGTTTAGTTGGGTTCTATAAATAAATGCACAGCATGATATTGATAACAGGCATTAAAATTGTATATTATGGTCCATTCCCAACTTCCATTTATATACTACTTGTATATGGAAAATACTGTAGTCCTTTATGGATGGAATTTTTTTTACATTGAATCAGAAAATTCTTCCCTCGTCATCGAAATGGTTGCTGTATTCAATGTACAGTAAACACAATAACGGGTAACTAAAAGATAGTTTTTGACTTTATTGGTGTCATCAGGTATCATAATCCCAAACAACAGAAAGAAATCCAAAAGACTTGGCTTCTGGGGATTTAACATAAGGGCTTTAGTCAGTTGTTTTCTGAAGCAACACACTTCCTTTTCTTTTCACTACAAGTGATGCACCTGGTAGGGGGAAAAAGGAGTGATTTTTTTTGGTTGTGTCTTGTCTCCAGTAAGCATTCTGTAATCTCCTAATTCTACTCACTTGTAGTGCATAGCTCACCAAGGTTGGCAAGGACATGGTTTGGAGCTACATCACCACTGTCAAGAAGCATGTGAAGTGGGCTGAAGGGCATAACCTGGCTTCTCAGAGCTCTATTTCCGGTAAACAGGGAAATTCTAGGCCCACAATTCTGAGTATTATTAAACAAGGTTCCTGGTATATTGCCCTGTGCAGTCGATCCAGGACTGCTGGAAATATTGTGCTGTGCTTTCAGTCTAGAAGAGTCCTCAGTGTGGTGCTGTGTGCTGCTCTTACAATAGTCAGCAAGCCCTCTGTGTATATTTATTGTAGATATATCTGGCTCTTGCAGCTTCTGAAGCAAGAGCTTTGTGGCGCTGTGGTTAGTGATTCGGCGCTCTGTGTGGATGCCAGCTCTTTGAACCATAGTTTTTAATATTGTCTCGATTGAATGAATTCCTAGCGGCTGGTTTTTGTACCACTGTGGATCCAGTTGTTGCAAGCTGGGTTTCCAGTTTATTGCCAGGTAAAAAGGGGCAGTTGGCTCAAGCATTTTTGAAGGCCTGTGGTGAAGAAAGATCTTATAGTTCATCACTGGACACATTTCTGGATTACTAGGAGTAGCAAATGCTTTTGGCATTGGAGTAAATTCAGAAAGGGTGTATCCGACATGATTCTTTAGTTGACACTCCCTGTCGTACTGAAGATATTCATTGCCATTTGCATCCTTCCTCAGCAGTATGTCGCCCCATCTTAATTGTCTCATGTCATTATTGCCTCTTATTCCAAAATAAATACAGTTATTTAGCCACATCGTGTTCTGGAGGGAATGAGCATTGTGTGGTCCCAGCTGCTTAGTAAGATAGAGCTGATTAATAAGTTCATCAGTTAACTGATCAGAAGCATTCCGTTTACATCCTTTCCCCTTTCGTTTCAGCTCTCTTTGTTTCAATTTCAGAGCATCTCTTGTTGGCTTAAAGATCACATCTGAGGATATGCTTGTGGGGTAGTTCATTTGCTTCAAGAAACGCTCAGTGCTTTGGAATATTGACCGAAGTGTTAGTGGCTCGTATTCACTATTATCTTTCTTCTTAACATTTACAAAGTAATGAGATAGCAAATTGCAAAGTTCTGTGGGCGGTACATCACAAATAGGCCTCCCTTCATTAAAGTTTGCAGAAAAGTAAGCCTGCAGGTTATGAATATCACACATTGTTTTTCTGTGGGTGTTTTTGTTTTCTGGTCTTTGTAAAAATGACTGAATATCTTCAGCAAACATAAAATCAAACCTATCTTTAGCTGTAGTGTTGATGTCGGGGTCCATTGCACTCTCTTCTGTTTCTTCTCCAGAAGACACATCCATAAAATGTTCTGCGGCATCCAAGTCGTCTGTGTTCTGTAGGAAGTCTTCTAGTAGAGAGTTAATGTGTAATATTTACTATATATACACACATCCCTCTACAACATTATTTTCACAGGCAATGTTTTGCAAACAATGTTTGACAATTGATGAACTTTCACTTTTATCCCTGTTCGCTGTTTTTTTTTGTATTTGAGAGCCAAAGACAACTAGAACCTTTATTTTCAATGTGTATTTAATTATGCTCCAAAATTTAGTGTGACACAAAAAGCAAGTTATCTTTCAATAGACAGAATATATGTTAATTATAACGTTCTGAGCCACAGTCACAGTCCACATAGTTCTATCTTTTTTTTTTTTTTTAAGTCTTCCAATAAGAAATACTTTTCTTTTGTTCCCTCTAAATTACAAATTGTCACATTAACTGTTAATTTATTTCTGTAATGTATATTTATTTGTTTTTAAATAAAACTTTAAAGGTTATCTAGTTTTGTCCTTGGCAAGACACCTAATGATATATGTCCTCAAATCCTGATAGATTGTAAACTTGTTTGAGCAGGACCCTCTCTCTAATATTAATCCCCCTTTCTTGTAAAGCACTGCAAAATATGGTTCAATTATAATAATAAAATGGCAGAATATGGACTAAAAGGACTACTGATTAGCAAAAAAATATTAGAAAATTGAAGCAAAAGTCAAATTGTCTTTAACCTCAAACCTCTTTTTAGCCTGGAAGTCTTGTGCCTTCTACAGTTGTTCAGAATGGACTCCTGGTATAAGCACAGCATATCCATTTGCTATGATCATTTACAGGAACACTATAGGCACCAAAACAACTTTAGCTTAATGAAGCAGTTTTTTTTTTTGTTTGGAGAGTGGGGGGGAGAGTTGGTCCACAAATCAAGCCCGGGCACTCTCACTACTCAATTATCTCCCTTTTAGGAGTTAAATAATTTTGTTAATGCGACTCTACTAACAACTCCCTGCATGTGACTTGGAACAGCCATTCTAAACACTTCCTGAAAAGGAACCTAGATATTTTAGGTTCCTTTATTGCACAGTTTGTTTTATCTATAATGTCTTATCTCTTGCTCTGTTAAATAGCCTTATAGACCCTACAGGAGCCACCTGTGTGTGATTACAGTTCAATTTACAGAGCAGAAGATAAAAACTTCTAAAGCCAGCTTGAACATCTGATTGAAAATTACATTTTTTTTGTTCATGCAGTGTATGTCAGTCACAGCTAGGGGAGATGTTACAAGGGTTACATAAATAAATACAAAAGTATCTTAACACCTAAATGGTAGAGAATTAAACTGTAAGACTGAAGTTGCATGAACTATACATTAAAATTGCTTTATTAAGCTAAAGGTATATTGATGCCTATAGTATACATTTAATTATTCCAAAACATTTTACACAATGTAAAGCAGAACAAATCATAGGAAGGCAATAGTCTTAGAGAGACACTATAGTCACCAGCTTATTGTATTTGTTCTGGTGAGAAGAATCATTCCCTTCAGACTTTTTGCGGTAAACACAGTCTTTTCTGAGAAAATGCAGTGTTTACATTACAGCCTAGTGATAACTCCACTGGCCACTCCTCAGATAGCTACTACAGGTGCAATCTTGGGCAGAGTTGCACACTGTGCAGTACCTCCTGCAAGGAGACACTGCTCTTTCCTCATAGAGATGCATTGATTCAATGCATCTCAATGAGGAGCTGTTGATTGGCCAGGGCTCTGTTTGACTCTGACCCTGATCTGCCACCTTGACCGTCTCAGCCAATCCTATGGGAAAGCATTGTGTTTGGCTCACAGAATCACTTCTGATGATGTCAGACAAGCAGACAGATGAGGGGCAGAGTCAGCAGCTGAAGATTTTACTATATTTAGGGAGTCATGAGGGACCAGTGGGGGCTAGATGGTGATTTTAACACTACAGGGTCAGGAATACATGTTTGTGTTCCTGACCCTATTGTGTTTCTTTAAAGTTGTGGTACCAAAACATGGCAGTCATAAACAGCTTCTTTCTAGTTATGATTAAAAGGGAATTAGTTTTAGTTTCTAGACTCTGTTGTATATTTGAACAAAAAAAAAGAATATCACCATCTTGATTTAGTTTTGTTGGTGAAGGATCTCATTTACTAATTTAATAAATACATACGTATAAATTTTTATTTAAAAGTCGATACTTGATTTTGAAGAACATAATATTTGCCCCTAAAATTTACAATATAAAAGATATAGAATATTTTACTGTATATATATAAATATCTACCAAATATAAATTAAAAAAAAATTAAATATGGCAAGAATAATGATTATGTTCAACACATGGAAAATATGACCAAAATTCAAAAGTCTTAGAAAACTATGCACAGCGTGCATGCTTAAAGAAATGTAAAAAGAAACAATACACCTTGTAGACATGTAGCTTCTTTGTGCTGGACCTTTCTTTATTTGTGTATCACTTTAGAACGGTTATGATTTATAATGGTTGTGAATAAGATAGTGTATTTAGTAATGTTACAATACTTATATACTTGATTGTCATTTAAATGACAGATTCCAGCAACTTGCACCAGACCTCAACAATATCCAACACATTATCCTGTCATATATTTTAGATGCAGATGAGTATCACTTGCAAAATTCTAAATGTATAAATGTATCAATAATAGCAGGAGGTCCTGATGAAGGAGATCGTCAGCCAGCCTGCTACAGACACAGAGTCATTAAACTAGATTGTCACTGGGATTCTTCATATTATGTTGTCACCAATATATTGTTTTATCAATAGACATTGATTCAACCTGTGACCCAATTGTAGCATCAATTGAACATGTACAGGAAATAGTGCATATGGGATGAATGTTGCATACTGCTCATTAAAGACTCTTATTTGGCTCCTTTTGGTATACGAATTAATCTCTACAGTGATTGTTTTATTATAATTCTATTGTTTATAGTTTTCTTTTTGTTTTGCTCTTTTTTTTCTTTTTCTTTTTAGTATCCCTGTAATTTTTTTGTTCTAAAATGTTACAGTGAGGAAGACCACTGAAAATGTTTGTACCAGGAAGAAAGAAATTAGAGTGTAGTCAGACTGTGAGCAATGCAGTCCTCCATTCATTGACCTGCAGTGCTTTACCAAAGACCAACTCTGTGCAAGTGTAGTGGTGTCAGCCACACAGCTGACTACATACAATGTGTACTAATGTCTCCCAAATTTAATGAAAGCAGATATCAATGTCAATGAAGAATATACCTTCACTGTGACAGGATATTGGCCAAACTTCTGCATAATGTCAAATGTGTTTGGTCTCACTCTAGCAAAGGAGGAGTTGGTTTATTGTATGACTGGTAGTTTTTCGTGTCTTATTTTTCACAAGATGTAGGCTTTGACCAGTATACAGCTGAGTTAAGGGTTACTGCAGTACCCAGAGAAAATCAAAATACTAACTTTTCCTATTGTGCTGCTGACACCTCGCTCCAAGCAGGGTAAAGTAAAAATAGAGAAAAATTAGGGCAGCGCAAACAAGTGCAAATGTGCACACCAAGTGCTACAAAAAGATTTCTTTTCAAGGACATAAGGTGCAAACCTTTTGGGTTATCTCCTTTATCAATGCATATCCTTTGATGTAGGTTAAACACCTCTACACAACAAAGCCATAGTTATTATTAGGCACGCCAAAAGAGGGAATCAATACTAAATGTATTAAACGATTTTTACGTCCAAAGTCCTTCTGTTACCCTCACTATGATAACACAGCAGAAGTTGTTACATTGCACTAAATGAGCCACTGCTGAATGAAGAAAGCAAGATGTATGTCAAAATGATGGACACATTCAAGTCCCAGCATACAGCATTATGTAAATCTCCCAGCCACTACGATCACTGATGAGTAATATCATGCTGAATGATATACACTGTAAATGAAGAGAATGTTTTTTGCAATGTAAAACAACTGTATATAAACAAACTAAAGCCTCAATTAAATGTTCTTGAATACGATTTTTTTTTATATATATATATATATATATATATATATTTATTTTATATAATTTTTATTATGTTAACATGTAGAAAGAAAAAAAAAATATATCATTTTCAAAGGTTTATCCAAAAATATGATATCATTTTGGAAAGCTTATCCAACAATATTAAATTAAGGCCTAAGTTTGCTTTCTATATTTTATTTACAGTTTTTAGAGACAAAAAAGTATGATGCAATGCAGAAAAGTATTATTAAAAGGAGTGAAAGTAGAACTTTAACATCACCCTATGTCATACTTATTTATAATCAGTATAACGCTAAACGGGTAGAATTTCTAGGGGTAAGATTCTTATTGCACCAACGTTAGCTGCATAGAACACCTGTATATACTTGAAACTAAATATCATCAAATGTTCACTTTGAACTTGTTTTTATGTTATGAAATGCAGTAGTCAGGATGAAGGGAACATAGATGACTTTCCGAAACAGCCATTGCATTAAGAGTACCACTGTAGATAGACATGAATACAACAAAGCTCATTTGAGCCCTCTCTTGATATATAACAAAAATGCTTTGCTACCAAGTAACAGTCATTGTATGTCTTGGCGCATTTAAATAAATTACCTATGAAGCCGAGAGTTCCAGGTTTGGAGAGGCTTATTGTACTGCAGTGAGAGCAGTGTGGCTCGGTGATATGTTGATGGCTACTTTAAATGTTTCTTTGTCATTAAAATGTTAATGTATGTATAGTATAGAAGATATATAAAAATACAAAATCTAGAACTGAAGGAATGAAGGACTATATTGTTGAGAAAGTAGAATACTAATACTGTTCAAATGTATAAAGCAATGAAGCTGAGAGTTCTAGGTTTGGAGAGGCTCATTGTACTGCATTGAGAGCAGCATAGGCTCGGCCTATGCTTCCTTTTATTTCCATAGAAATTGACAGAAATATTTCCAAAGATCTGTGATTTGTTGATGTCTTTATTTTAAATGGTTATTTGTAATTAAACCATTTATATATATATATATATATATATATATATATATATAGACACAAAATCTAGAACTGAAGGAAAAAGGGACTATATTTTAAGAAAGCAGAATACTAATACTGTACAGTAATGAGACATCATGATGTGGTTACATGAATATCTGGAAATAAAAAGATCATGCATGGATTCATGTAAGCAAAAAATAAATAAAAAAATAATACCTTGAAAATTAAACTGATAGTATTCTTGGTCTTCAGATTCTTCTTTTATTGTCACTGTGGTCAACTCAGGAGAGTTCCCTACAAATATAACAACAATTATCTTTGAAAATCCAGTGCAGTCAATATGTAAAGTGTCAAAATATCTATTTACTATTAAATGAAAGTTTTCTCCTCTCCCCCACCTAAAAAAAATATATATCTATTTCCTCTTTCAATATCTGCAAAAAAAAAAAAATTAAAAAGTTTGATTTTGAACAGTATATACTTTATCTTCCCAAATTCCCCTGCTTGCGCAGCCATTTTGAGTGATCTTGGATCAGACCCGGCTGTTATCTGACCAAAGATCTCACCATAGTCTTCAAAAAAAAAATAAACTATCTAAAACAACTATAAAACATGCTGAAAATATTGATCGACATAAAATAAAGACAATACTTAAACCACTTTATGATGGTGCATGGCTGATGTCAAAGCTACTTTTGCCACACTAAACAGGGATCACAAATTATGCTTTGCATTTACATAAAACAAGTTACAGCTACTTACCAGGGTCGTGCCTTGGTTCGGACTTCACCTGAACAGGAGAATAACTTTAAAATAGAAAGAAAAAAATAATATACTTTACAAACTAATAGATGCATGGAACGTGAATATTTATACAGATTAGAAAGACATGGTGATATGATAAAATTCTGTGAACTTTGTGGCTCATAATTAACTCTCTTAATTGTCATAGCTGGTTGGGATATGCTGCAAGGTGCCCCTAAACTCAAATTGAGTACTTTAGATGATATATGTTTGTTAATTAAACACAGGTATGTCAGTAATTGTCTTTCCTATACACACTGTCCAGGGAAAACATAGAGGTCTTCTTTTTATTTCAGAAGTGTTTTATTGCAGAGCATACACTTGTGGCCTACAAAGAAGAGTCAATATATACTATGAATAAGGGTACTCTTTACTCAGCATTTGCACAATTTCTTGTTTACATAATTTAACATACATTATTAAGCAGAGTTTAGCCTTGCACGTAGCCAGTCTTGCATTTAGCCAATCATTGTAGAAACGAACATGCCTAAAAGTAAATCTGCGACTCCTATAAATAGTTGTAACATGTGGTCCAACGCGATATGCTACAAGTCCAGTGGTTTAGCACTTTAAATATTTCATTCTTGAACAGTGCACATATTTTGCATACTCATTGACACAGATACTAGAACTTACACATGTAGTTAAAAGAAAGAAAAAAAAAAAACTTTTAAGCAAACTCCAAAAAAAATAGGTTTACCCTTTTTTCACTCATACTAGAGGCCCCAAAGCCTACACTCCTTACCCAGTTACTACATTGAAAAGTTTTAGTGACTATGCCTCTCAGGATGCTTAAAATTGCAGTACAAACAACAACAATAATAAAGAAAATCTACTTAACAAGAATGAAAAACTTAAAAAAGATGAAGATTGCAAAAACTGCCTCTGAAATTTTAATACAAGTTAAACAGAAAAATGCAAGCCGAAAGGTAATCTTATAAATATATTATCTATATTAAATTAGGTCTGTCTAGGAAACACAAATATATTATATATTAGTGGGAGATTGCTTTTAGTCTGTATTAAGCCTGCTAAACTCAACACAATATATACAATGGGCAAAAATACAATCTCCTTTGAATGAAGCACGAAACGTTTAAAGAGCATGCACTTTTACCTTTCAGAGAAAGATGCCTCAGCTTCTCTAGCAATTTCATTTTCTGCAATAGGTTACAATGCAAACACATTTAAAAAGGACACAGAAGTAATTGGTAACCAACACAATGTGTTTTTTTTCTCCAATACATCAGCACAAATAGCATTATTTTCTATTAAGGATATTTTCATGTACCAGAGGCTATGGTTTGCTATTCTGCACCTAGTTGCTATAATAAGGACAATCCAAACACCATAAGCATATTGATTGTAGAAGGAGTCTTTGGTTGCTGCATCTAAAGTTTTTTGGTAAAGGTTCACGATGGCATTAGGAATATAAAACTGTATTCCAAACATTATAGTTTCCCTATTTATTTAGGTCTGCCCCCCTCCTGCAGTGAATAAAGGCTTAAAAACCCTTTGTTAACTTACCTCTTTCCAGCGCTGAGGCTCCCTTGGAGCTAGCTAGGTCTCCTCTCATAACGTCATGCCGATGGAGGAACCCAACACACATGAAGGGTAAGCACTGCACACACTCATTGGAGCTTCCCTATAAGAAATCACTTAATCAGTGATTTCCTGTAGGGTATTTGAAGATGTTAGACGTCCAACATTGTAACACTAAGTTAAATTCTGCTAGAGACCAGGAAGCACCTCCATTGGCTGTCTGAAACCAATAGAGATGGTCTTTACCTTTAAATGTAAACATTGCTGTTTCTATGAAACAATATTTTACATTGCAGGGTTAATGGAACAGGAGAACTGCACCTAGACCACTTCAATGAGAAAACTGTCTCTTTTCTTTGCACCCAAAGTGTAATCCTCTGCTACTCAAAATCAGTCTTAATTTAAACAGTAACAATGTTCTATGGGTGAATTGGGAAGGCCAAGCCCAAAGCTCTATTAGTTATCCAAATCACTAAATAATGTAAATGTTATGTTTACTTTCCAAAATAATCAAACTGCTTTACAGTTCAGTGCTTACCTTTTCGTTTGGATCTCCTTCTGTCAATAAAAGGCCTAAAAAAAATATATATATATATACACAGAATTTAATTATCAGCGATCTTTTTCAAAAGAGATTTCTATTAGCCTGTAACAAAAGTATCCTGCTCCCAAATCATAAATGCTTCTAAGTGACATTTCTAGCACAGACTTAATATTAGTATGCGCTGGCCTAACTGCATACATTATAACTGTATACACATGTGCAGAGAAATGTTTTGTAAATGACAGATAGACAAGTATCTGGTTATTTATTTAATTTAACAACACAGAACACTTTAGAGCACATGGGGCTTTGGGGTTTTCATAAAAGATACATTTGAGAATATTTTAGGGCTGTATAACATGTCCAGATGCTCCATATTTGTGGGGTTTTTGAATTGTTATCCACACAATATACATTGTGGCCAGTCATTACTTAAAATTTAAAAAAAAATCATAATAATGATTTTATATATAAATAATTATCTTTTTGAGCATTTAATTACACATGACAGTTCATATTTCTTTGTTCTGCAAAAGTAACACTAATGGCTCAATATAAAAGTCTAACACATTGAATTCCTCAAATTTGGTAAGTTAATACAATAACGGTGATGGGAAAGCATAATTAAAAAAAAAAAGCTGCCTTCACTGTGTTAATTCCTTCCTGGGTGCTCTGCTTAATTCAGCAAAATTAGGAACAGAACACTTATTACATATTTAGCAACTGACATTATTCACATCAATGTACTGTAGCAGGTTGTTTAGAAAGTAGAACAGCCTATATACATACTGATTAGGCTTAATGTGAGCCTGAAGCAATAATGGAATATTATACACTCATGTCACACTGATATTTTATTTTCCATTCTTTCATCTTTTATATAAAGGTATTAGTGTGGTTGAGTTGCCTAGTGCAGGAACAAACAAAGTAATAATAATAATTAAAAAAAAATCTGCTACAATTCCAGGTCAAGGCACCACAACAAAAATCCTCCCCTCACACTCCACATGTTATTTTCCCATAATTCTCTGCACACACATTCATTCTCAAGACATGTGCAGGGAATCAGGGGCCTTAGTTAATTCCAGAATATCTTTGTGTTTAATGCAAATAAATAAAGTATTTAAAATTAAAAAAGCACAACCAACACACAAATTTTAATGCATACCAAATAAGTATGCAACTTAAGTGGTCCTGTGTTTGAATACCTCAAAGGGACACTATGGGCATCAATACAACTAGCTTTTGGTTAAACGTTTTGGTGTATAGATCATGTCTCTGCAGTCTCACTGTTCTATTCTCTGCTATTCAGGAGTTAAATCACTTTTTGTTTTGGCCCATGCTGCCCTAGCCACTTCTCGCTTGGCTGTGACTGGCACAACCTGCATGAAAAAAAAAAAAAATGTTTCATTTTCAATCAGACTTTAACTTGCTTCAGAAGTTTCTATATCCTGCTGTGTAAATTTAACTTATGAACACAGGAGGCATGGTGTGGAAGGGTGCAGGGTCTGGAAGGCTATTAACAGAGCAGTACAGAACACATTCTGAATTAAATTGAATTTGCAATAAAGGAAGTGTAAACATTAAATGACTCTTTACAGGAAATCTTTAGGAAGGCTGTACAAGTCCCATGCAGGGAGATGTGGCTAAGGCTGCATAAACAAAGGGATTTAACTCCGAAATAGCAGAGAATTAAGCAGTGAGACTGCAAGGATATGACCTATACATCAAAACTGCTTCATTAAGCCCAAGTTGTTTTGGTGCATATGGAGTCCCTTGAATTCTTTGTACTACATACTTTTATCTCAGAGGAGACACTGTCATAGTCTACATCAGGCCTGCACATCCTGTGGCCCCCAGATATTTTGAATCACAACTCCCATGATTCCATGGCTGTTTCATTCAAAGAATTATGGGCGTTGGCTATTTTATTCAAAGACTCATGGGCGTTGTAGTTCAAAACATCTGGGGGGCCGAAGGTTGTGCAGGCCTGGTCTACATTAAGTAGAAAATAGATCAGTTATTCAACAAAAGTAAAAAAAAAAACATGAGGGCTACAAGAATATTCGTATGAACAGATGCCGAAGCAAATGTTGTTTATGTTGCATTACATGGATTAAGATGTGTTGATTTACCTTTTAATAGTAAAACACAGCTGAGATTTATTGTCCATAATCTGCTTCAAAGAGTGAAGGCTATATTTTGATGGATCTACAACTCCCATTCCCTTTGGGAGCCCACAGACTGTAACCGCGGTTGGATCATTTGACATCTTGTCATAGGGCACAGGCACTGGTGTTGCTTTTCCAAGAGCTTTCCCTGTCAAGGTAAGATGCAAAAAATAAAATAAAATGTACAATATTTTTGCTTTAGTTGCCAACAGGGTTTTAAGCAATATTATAACATTATACAGGTGGGCATAGTATGTACCCCTCGTACCTCTATAGTGCCATTATATTGAAGGAACACTAGGGGAATACACTCTAATTCAAACTGCTTAAGAATAAAGTAAAAATCCTAACTGATACAGAATCTCTTACAGTGCTTGGACCACCACAGTCTACATCACCCTTACTGATTTAAACAGAAGTATTGTTGAGCAGATGTGATTTCTCAATCACATAAAAAGAGGAAAAAACTAATCATGGGCATGCTCTACTCAGGCATTTTTCTTGCACATAACCTACTCATTTGCTTCAATTATAAAATACTGAATTTTATGAGAAATGCAAAACTGTGAATTTCCTGCTGCTAAGTCTTTAGTTCCTTTCTGGAAGTGGTAGACAAGAGGGTAAAGCTATGGTGCAAGACGTTTCTGCTTTTTGTTTGCAGGAAACATGTATTTGGCAACATTATGAAAATGGAAGATACTACATCCAATTTAATGTAGAAAACACAGAAAATACCATTGCACATTTTTCATGGAAACAGGTGTTAAACACATTATGAAGAATAACAAAAGAATATGAAAGAAACTAAAATGTACCATAGCAAATGCAGAACAAATCTTCAACTGACTTCCGTAAAGACTCAATATCACAATCTGCTGCTGCTGCTGCTCTTGAAGTCTTAATAACAATAGCTTCGGTAAAAGTCTTTTCCTCCACGTTACCTGCAAAAAATGTCCAGTTAAAATAAAAGAGTTTAAAACCTGACCAGAATTAAAAGTTATATAAACAACATATCTTAAATTGTACCACAGGTGTAAAAAATAAATATATTTTAATACTGAAATTGCTGCACATTTTCTATGGTCATTTACTACTACAGTACTAGTCAGTATTTAGCAGCGGTTCATAAGGCCCTAACCGGACCTATATTCTGTAAATGGCATTCTGCAAATTTGATTGATGATGTAATAAAATCTGCAAAAGGATCTGTAGATTTTTCAAAGTGTCAAACGAGCCTCCACTGCAATGAGAAAGGCTCTACAATCATGGGAAACAACTTATTATGGGTACAAATCATGGGCCTGTCAAGTATGGTCTGCCTTTCCTAATCACTGGATACCTATTGAAATAGTGAGCACATTCAGCTGTGGGTTCTGATAAAAAAAAAACATACACTGATCATCCACAAAATTAAAACCACCTGCCTAATATCATGTGGCGTCCCACTTTTGCTGCCAAAAGAGCTCTGATATATCGAGGCATGGACTCCGCAAGACCTCTGAACATGTCCTGTGGTATCTGGCACCAAGACATTAGAAGCAAATCCTTAAAGTCTTGCAAATTGCAAGGTGTGGCCTTCATGGATCAGATTTGCTGTCCCAGCAAATCCCACTGGTGTTCAATAGATAGAGATCTGGGGAAGTAAGAAGCCAAGGCAACACCTCCTTATGTTCCTAACAATTTTTGCAGTGTCATTGGGTGCAATATCCTGCTAAAAGGGATCAAGACTGTCATGAAGGGACATGTGGTCTTCAACAGTCTCTAGGTAGATGGTACATGTCAAAGTAACATCTACATTCATACCAGGACCCAAGGTTTCCCAGCAGAACATTGCCCAGAGCATAACACTGACTCCACTGGCCTGCCTTATTCCCATAGTGCATCCATATGCCATCTCTACCACAGGTAAACAGGGAATGGTGTGAAGATTAGATACATTTATAGATATTGATAAGCATACTACCACTGTGTCATTTTCTTCCTGGTTAACCAAGTGCCTGTCTATTCCGCTGTGCCCCTTTAAAAAGTCTAAGTGTGCTTACAAGCAATATATCAAAGGAACACCTGAGGAGATCCCCCAAATTAAATTATTTAAAAATGCAAGTGACTTACAATACTGTATAAAATCTTTCTGCAAATCCTTTCTTGCATCTAGAAAGGCTCTTCCTCTGTTGCTGCCAAAAACTAGTGCTTCTGAGTCGTACACAGCAATACAAGCTACTTCAGCTTTGACCTTGGCAAACTCTTTACACTGAATAAAAAGGGGAAAAACACACAAACATACCAACAAATTATTTAACACCCGTCAGTATTTATAAGATCATACCTTTCTCTATATAGGGCATTCAGCACACGGAGTATCTCAGTTCTCCAAAACCAAACATTGTGGTTTGCCAAATCAGTCCTAGAAGATACCTAGACTTGCCAGTTGTATATCATGAGTGAATATCAATGCATTTTAAGGTATATTATTGCCATAGACTGTTGGCTATGGTGATGGCATTGCCAATTGGAGAGAAGTTACACACACAGACACAGCACACAGGGTGATGTGGAAGACAATATATCAAGGGGAATGTTTCTACATATACTGGCACAAGGTGAATAAGTGTTAAATTTTGTAAAAGTACATTTAAAAAAATTAAGTCTTATGAATAAAGTGTTTGGACGGCATTATTTTATTACCATTGATTCTAATGCAGACATAAAACATTTAACAGCTTCTTTGCTCTCAGATGAGTCATTGAGCACTGGTAGAACAGGCAGTGTGAATTGAGACATCTTTCCTGCAGAAAAAAAAGCACAAATACATTAAATAAGGAAGAAAAAAAAACTGGAGCAAAGTAGTATATATTCAACTTTCCAAATAGCATCTCACATATAAAATCCAAGAAAATGCAACGTTACTTTATCCAGTGTTTACAAATTATTATTCTCAAACTTAAAGTGGTTCTGTCACCTCAAACTTGGCTTTCTATTATCGTTTTCTCTTCTCTTCCTCTTTCAGAATATGTTCTTATTTTTCATATTTCTAATCTATTTCTCTTTAAAACAAAAGTACAAAGTATGGACTTCTTTGGCCTAAGTATTTTTCCTACACTTGACAATCTTGGCAAAGGGTGGAGCTTAAAGCAAGCTTTACCCTTTGTTAGCTTGACAAAGGAAGTGGACCTTGCCTTAAAGGGAAACTATAGTGTCCCCCTCCCTCCCCGTGGTGCAAAAGGGGTTAAAAACCCCTTCTGTTGCTTACCTTAGTCCAGCGCCAATGTCTCAGTGCTGGCTCAGGGTTCGCCTTTGCTCCTTCCCCGCCAACATCAGCCGGTGGAGGAGAACTAATGTGCTTGCACGGCAATGGCTGCGCTCGCATTAGCATTCCCACATAGGAAAGAATTATACAATGCTTTCCTATGGGGATTACAGCAGTGATGCTGTATGTTCTCATGCATAGAGTGAGGACGTCCAGCTTCCGGCGACCAAAAGTCGCCGAACGACAAGGAAGTCCCTCTAGTGATCGTCTGGTAGACACTAGAGGTAAAATTACCCTGCAGAGCTAATTATTGCAATTATAATAAATAATTTGCTTTGCAGGGTTAAGGGACCTGGTAATATGCACCCAGGCCACTTTAATGCGCTGAAGTGGTGTGGGTGCCTATAGTGTCCCTTTAAGCTCCACCCTTTTGACACAATTGCCAAGTGTAGGAAAATACATAAAGCAAAATAGTCCCTACTTTGTCTTATGTTTTAATGAGAAATAGATCAGAAATTAAGAAAATAAGAACAGACTGAAAGAGGAAATGAAGAGGAAACAATAGGAGAAATTAAAGTTTGAGATGACAGAGCCACTTTAAAGTGCAGTAACATTTAAAGTTAAAGGACCACTATAGTGCCAGGAAAACAAACTTGTTTTCCTGGCACTATAGTGCCCTGAGGGTGCCCCCACCCTCATGGCCCCCCTCCCGCCGGGCTGAAGTTGGAGGAAGGGATTAAACACTTACCTTTCTCCAGCGCCGGGCTCCCTCCTCCTTTGGACGTCATCGGCTGAATGCGCATGCGCGCGCAGTCAGTCCATAGGAAAGCATTCTCAATCACAGTGAATCACCGAAAATCCCAGTGAGAAGCACGGAAGAGCCTTTACATATGGGTTAATCCAGCCTCAAGCGGCTGTCTCATGGACAGCCGCTAGAGGCTGGATTAACCCATATGTAAACATAGTTTCTCTGAAACTGCTATGTTTACAGCAGGCAGGGTTAACCCTAGCTGGACCTGGCACCCAGACCACTTCATTGAGCTGAAGTGGTCTGGGTGCCTATAGTGGTCCTTTAAAACAACAGAAACATATATTTCTCTTTCAACAACAGTAGAACAATCAATGGGTCAGTTAGCCAAAAATGAAATCTATCAAGCTATCTGTGTAATGACAACCTCGGTCAGTTTTGTGAATATGGTTGTACACATGGAGACAAGACCTAAAACGAGTGCACACAGAAGAGAAAATAGTAGTTCCTGATGTTGAGGGGGGAAAAAAGGGACAAAACTTATAGCCACAGTGATTTTAATATAAAACAAACATTTAAAAAAAAAAAAAATGTTCTTAGGGATCGCACATTAATATATACTAGATTTGGTGCTTAGAATGCACCTTTAATATTTAGGTTAACGCAATAGCACATAATAAGCTATTATGTAGATAACCAAAAATATTGTAGGCACGTTCAAAGTGTCTATACCATAATACTATATATGCATTCAACAAATATATTTCTAGTAATAAGATGTCATACTCTCCCAGCGCACACACGCTCAATCAGGACGCCAAGTGAGAAATTAAGGATTCCCGAAGCAGCATGCGGAGCAAAGTTATTAACCATTAGACATAAGGGACAGTGATGCAGAGTGCAGACATACAATGTTACTCTCCCTCCACTTTGGCAACAGAGCAAACAAAATAAATTTCTTACAATGTATAAGCTTTGTCTCATGCCAGATTTACTTTTAATCTCTTCAGTACTTAATTATACATTACTACAAATGCAAGAATGTTTAAAAATATTGTTTATATACCAAATTGTCTATGGAAATCAGCATATGATGGAGCTCAGCACTCAGCTTGAATTTCTCCCTCAAGGGTCTCTCTCTCTTTAAAGGACCACTCTAGGCACCCAGACCACTTCAGCTTAATGAAGTGGTCTGGGTGCCAGGTCCCTCTAGGATTAACCCCTTTTTTTTATAAACATAGCAGTTTCAGAGAAACTGCTATGTTTATAAATGGGTTAACCCAGCCTCCAAATCCTCTAGTGGCTGTCTCATTGACAGCTGCTAGAGGCGTTTGCGTGCTTCTCACTGTGAAAAATCACAGTGAGAAGACGCCAGCGTCCATAGGAAAGCATTATGAATGCTTTCCTATGAGACTGGCTGAATGCGCGCGCAGCTCCTGCATCGCATGCGCAGTCAGGCAGAGAGGAGGCGGAGAGGAGGAGGAGAGATCCCCACCCGGCGCTGGAAAAAAAGGTAAGATTCAACCCTTTCCTCGCCATCCAGCCCGGCGGGAGGGGCACCCCGAGGGTGGGGGCACCCTCAGGGCACTATAGTGCCAGGAAAACGAGTATGTTTTCCTGGCACTATAGTGGTCCTTTAAGCACTGGATACCCAGAATTATAGCTGTCTCACCCAAACACTAGCCAAGACTTAGAGTTGGGTGAATAAACACTGGTTTATTGAGAGCAATGCACACTTTTATACACACAATACCAACATGAGGTCCACAAACTGGTTTATTGAGAACGAGGCATACTTTTATACACATGACACCAACAGGAGCTCCATAACTTGAATAATTTAAATCCCATCCTGACGCCTGGGAGATAACTACCGTATATACTCGTGTATAAGTCGATCTCATGTATAAGTCGAGTGCAGTTTTGTGACCAACAATTGTGAAATATGCTATGCCTCGTGGATAAGTCGAGGGTAAAACTTGGGGCTATGAAATTCTGTGATTTTTATAATTATATACACACACACACACACTCTGCATTATATATACACACACACTCATAGTGTGTATATAATGCAGAGTGTGTATATAATGCAGAGTGTGTATATAATGCAGAGTGTGTGTTTGTGTAGTGTGTGTGAACTGGGTGGGGGGAGGGCATTTTTATTATTTTAATTTTTTTTTATTATTTTAATTTTTTTTTGTCCCCCCCTCCCTGCTTGTTAACTGGTCATGGACGGGGGCTATCTTAATCCCTGGTGGTCCAGTGGCATGGGCTGTGAAGTGGGGGGGCCGGCAGGAAGCATTTACTTATCTTTCCTACAGCTCCTGTCAGCTCCCTTCTCCACCGTTCCGGTCAGCTCCACAGTAAGTATCGCGGTCTGGTTGCCGCGTGGATCGTTGCCACGGCTCTGACGGCCGCGGCTCTCTAAGTTGCCATAATACAGACAGTGACTCGAGTATAAGTCGAGTGGGGGTTTTTAAGCACAAAAAATGTGCTGAAAAACTAGACTTATACTCGAGTATATACTGTATATCTAATCGCTAAGCTAATTATCCCCTAGACATCAGGTTGCCATTACAATATACCTCAAAACATGCAAAATTATACAATTAACTCCCACATGTCTTATATCCCTAGATAGCTCTTCAACTCTACCTTCTTCAGTCAAAAGAGCGCTCGTCGTACTCACAGTGTTGAATTGACACCTAGTTAAAGTCTCAGCCGGCCAAGGCTGATTTCACATCCAATGGAGAGTTCCATGCAGCCAGCCAGAGTGACCGCTAGGAGACTCGCAGCTTTCCTTGCAAGACTGTCACCTGGGGGTTGGAGTGAGGGCGTTCTTCAGGGCTGTGCCTAGTGAAGGACAGGGGGAAAACTAGGGAGTGAGACTTTAACACTTAAAGGGACCCCCCAGGCACCCAGACCACTTCTGCCCATTGGAGTGGTCTGGGTGCCAACTCCCACTACTCTTAACCCTGCAACTGTAATTATTGCAGTTTTCTTATAAACTGCAATAATTACATTGCAGGGTTAACTCCACCTCTAGTGGCTGTCTACTAGACAGACACTAGAGGGCACTTCCTGATTCATAGCAAAGATTTTCTTTGCTAGAGCGTCGCTGGACGTCCTCACGCTGTGTGAGGACCTCCAGAGTCGCTCAATTCCCCATAGGAAAGCATTGAAAATCTTTTTCAATGCTTTCCTATGGGGAGACCTAATGCACGTGCACGGCATTGCCGCACATGCGCATTAGGTTTCCTCAGCCGGTGGGCCGGATCAGTCTCGCCCACCGGCTGACGTAATTACTGGGAGGAGCGACGCCGACCCAAAACCACCGCCGAGGGACATTGGCGGGGTCTCGGGTAAGTGACCTAAAGGGGTTTTCACCCCTTCAGCTACCTGGGATGGGAGGGAGAGGGGACCTGCAGTGCCAGGAAAACGGATTGTTTTCCTGGCACTGGAGTTTCCCTTTAAGTGCAAAATTGGAGTGAATGTGTCTGCATAGTGGCAGAACTGCGGTTCTGTCACACAGCTCTTTTATGAGCGGTCACAAATATTAGACTCCAGTCATAATACACTTTAGTATTCTACGAGGATAGCTATTTCCATCTACTCTTTGAACAAAGAATAGCTGTTTTAAGCACAGACACAAAGAATCTAAAAATGCATTCTGAAGCCGTTTCAATATCAAAAATCTTCAGAAGTGTAAACCCAAATTGAGTAAATGTCCTTATATCAAGCAGGCTTTAAAACACAATTCATATTCAGTATATACTCACATCCCAATAGTGAGAAAATGTCTGTAAAACCATATATTTGAGAAAACTGCTATTGAATTATAATGCTTTAAAATACAGTGTAGCAATATAACATAACTAAAGAGAGCTAACAGATGATGCTGTTTAGGAACGTCCATCTCTCAGAGATGATAAAGGAGGCGAAGAGAGGCACCCAGCAGATCCCACCCCAGGTAAGATTACTTACAATTGGGGGAGGAGGGGCAAGGCACTCAAACCATAACCACTCCAGCTTTCTGTATAGTGCTTGAAGTGTATGAACAACGCTAAAAATCAGCATCTTTGATAAATCTTGTCATGAATGTTTAAAAGTAATACTTCCACCCCAAAACAACTTCATCTCAAATCATATTATGGGAACCGAAGTCTCTGGGTGCAAAGGTTTGATTATAGCCATTAGCCATGTTCCAAAGTATACTTTTTTTTTTTTTTTTACCATTAATATATTATAGAACTTGCCATTTTGTAGTGGAATAAAAAATTAGATTCTAATTCATTCACACCAAAGCAGGAGCAGGATTCTGGCATGCTTTCTGACCTTTAAACTACTGTTACAGAATGTTATTTTTCATAGCACAAGCAATGGCTTGAGTTAGAAAATAATAATCTCCTCCTACTCTTTCATTAGATAATCCCACTATACCAACAGCTATAAAATATTGACGGTCTCTTTTTGAACTAGACAAATAGGATTATTAACTAAACTAGAATTTTACAAAAATAAATCTGAATGTCAAATTCGAGGCTAGCTGATTTGGAGAAAAAAAAAAAAAACACAATTTCACCTAAAGTTACACCCTGGCTTTATCAGTTTATGTTTTATAATTTATACTTAATTTCCCAAAATTAAGAATTTAGTTAAAAAAAAAAAAAAAAAACAGAAAGTATATACATGCATCTCCTATTATAGACATAATCCAGGATTCCCTACAGCATTACTTGAATATATTTATCTATATTGTGCCTGCCAGAACATCTACATTTTCATTCAGAACACATTTACATCTCAACTCTTTAGAACAAACCCAAACATATTTGCTCTCTTTTCTCACTAGTAGGGATCACACTAGTTTTTTCACACATTGAAAACCGATAAAACATTACATGCGCTCCTTCTCTTGGTCTATATGTTCTAAAAAAATTCAATAACTTCCACACAGGAATTCGGAGTACCTAGTACTGGAAAAGGGACATTCATCTTTGTACCAGATATTAAAAATCCTGCTATGCATTGCAAATTCATTGGTATAATATAAATAACAGATTAGCCAAAACAACAAGTTGTCTAGAATTGGGCTTGACTAATTTGCACGGAATCTAGGAGCCAGCAAAATAAATTAGGAGCCAGGTTTTTCAATGTCAATAATACAATTCTTAAAAGAGACACTCTAGTCACCAGTACCACTACAGCTTAAAGGACCACTATAGTGCCAGGAAAACATGCTCGTTTTCCTGGCACTATAGTGCCCCCTCCCGCTGGGCTGGATGGAGAGGAAGGGGTTAAACTTACCTCTTTCTCCAGTGCCGGGCGGGGAGCTCTCTTCCTCCTCTTCGGCTGAATGCGCATGCGCGGCAAGAGCCGTGCGCGCATTCAGCCAGTCTCATTGGAAAGCATTTACAATGCTTTCCTATGGACGCTTGCGTCTTCTCACTGTGAAAATCACAGTGAGAAGCACGCAAGCGCCTCTAGCGTCTGTCAAGAGACAGCCACTGGAGGCTGGATTAACCTATTTATAAACATTCTCTGAAACTGCTATGTTTATTAAAAAAAATGGGTTAACCCTAGCTGGACCTGGCACCCAGACCACTTCATTAAGCTGAAGTGGTCTGGGTGCCTATAGTGGTCCTTTAATGTAGTTGTTCTGGGCTCTAGAGTCTGTCCCTACACACTTTTCAATGTCAACACTACCTTTTCAGAAAAAAGGCAGTGTTTATTTACATTGTTGCTTTGTAACACTTTTAGTGACAGTCACTCAGATTGTCTCTGGAGGGGCATCCTGGGTCAGTTCTGCACTGTGCGCAGCACCTACGTTCAGCGTCTCCACACACCGCATGGAGGCACTGAACGTTCCCATTAGAGATGCATCTCTGTGAAGAGATGCTGATTAGTGCAGCATGGTGTTTTGCCACACATGCGCAATAGCCTCTCAATGCAATCCTATGGGAATGCATTGGATTGGTTGAGATCAAGAGTGATGATCTAGCCGTGGATGGCGGGGACAGCTGCGGCGGGACCTGCACGGCGTGGGAAAATAGGTGAGAGAAATATGTGATTGGAGTGAGGCCGGTAACCTAAACAGACACAAACTGACAGACACACACTCCGTGACAGACACACATATTGACAGACACACAATGACATTGCAACAATCACACACACTTTCTCACACACTCAATTTTCTTTTTTTCTTATTATAATGTGACCACCCAGGTTCCCTAGCTTTCGGAGAGCTGGAATGATTCGGCTTTCCCTGGGGTCCAGTGTGGCTGCTGTCATCTCCATACTCTGCTCCCTAAAGTGATGCAGAGGCCGTAGTGACGTCATATTCCAGCTCCCGGTATCGCTGGAGATCGCGCTAGGGAGCAGAGCAGGGAGATGATAGTTCCCTCCCCATCCATATCAATTGTCCGTGAACCGCCAGCCTGCTTACCCACCCATGCTCTTCCAAGGCAGCCGGCGACCTGCATCCAACGTCGATCGACCACCCACCTCTACTCACAGTCAGCCTGCCATCTCGGGAGCTAAACAGACCGACAAAGCCCAAGGCCAGGATAAAAATCCTAGTCACCATGGCACCTGGATTTGTCAAGAATCATATTGCTGGCAATGAAGTAATAGAACTTTGAACCCTTGGCCACAACTGGTGGAAAAGTCACCTAACATTTTATAAAGGTGGTGCACATGGTCACAATCAAATTTACCTTTACAACCCATACATTCTTCCAAACATTGGCACTTATTCATCTTATGAGAAGGGCAAGACTAGTATCTAGGAATGAATGAGTGGACTGATTTTTTTTTCTACTTATTGGCTCATAATCACAAACCTACTTCTCCTGAACGATTGATTAATGTAAAACTTTAGTGTTAGGAATACAAAGAGGTATACCAGTGTTACACAGCCTCTCCTCTCCCCCCCCCCCACCTCTCTTTAATCACTTACCTGATTCCGATGACGAGGTACCTCTGAACTGGGTCAAGTGTCAACCTCTTACTACATCCGGTGGGTTGGGGGATCTTATGTGCATGCGTGGTTAGCCCGGCGAACACTTTGCCTTCCCCACAGAACAGCTTTGCCTTATTGCTTTCCTCTGGGGTTTTCTCGGATGCTGGATGACCACAGGCTGAGTGTAAGGACATCCAGTATTGTTTCACATAGTCAAACTCTGTGAAACTCTTGGAAGCATCTCTAGGGGCTCTCTAATATTGCAATGTTTTACACTGCAAGACTAAGGGGGACAGAGACATTGCACCCAGACCACAGTAATATGTAGTGGTCTGGGTGCCTTTAGTGTCCTAATAAACTTTCTATCTTCCCTATTAGAAAATTAGTGGTCTTTCTGTATTCATGGTCTTATTTTAAAACTTATTTTTGCATACATTTTAAAGCACTGTTAACATATTGAATTAAATATATATTATTTTTTTTAAATGAGAGGTTCACAGACTATAAAAAAAAAAAAAAAAGGATCAAAGGTTTCAGCTGTTAAGGTTTCTGACAAAGTTGTTTCCGCGTTAGAGTGTTCGTGGTGACGTCACGGTTATGTTAAACCCCGCCCCCGAGGAGCCAGCTGACCAATGAAAGCAGAATATAGGGCCCAGGGCCTCCATGGCATTATTGCCCCTATAGTCCGTGTTAATTATAATAAACCTGAGTAGTTCTGGCACCGTGCTCCCTATGCGGGTCCCGGGCGCCTCTAACTCTTACCGAGTAAATGGAATGCGGTAGAGATGCCGCGGACAGCTCAGGGCAGCCTGGGATGCCGACACCCGTTCACCAGTAATGTGGCTTCCTCTGCCACCCGACCCGAGTCACAAGTATATACAGTGCTCCAGCTTGCAGCCACCCCGAGCCCTGCCGTAGCCGCACTATGCACACGGGCTTCTTCGTTTATTTCTCTTTTTTCACTTCTCTCCTCGCTCTCCACTGCGATAACAATCAGCGCATGCTCCGGCGCCGCACGGCACGCTGGGAGTTGCTGTTCCAAAGAAGTGTCGTCTACAGGTAAAACTGCGGGGAACGAGCGGTGACTGAACTACATATCCCAGCACCCTCTGGTGGAGACGCGACGTACTGTTCAGAAGAACAAAGCAGCTGGGACTGCAGCGGCCTCTCAGTGCTCAAGCAGAGCCTGTAACATGGCTGTGTGGGTAACAGCCTGCACTGCCATTTTACTGCATGGCCCCCTGCCTGCTGCATACAGTGGGAGAGATACTGTGGCTTTGCTTGTTCTCACACACTCACTCAAATATTCACTTAATAAAACATCGATTGTCTGTGCAATATGAGCAGCAGGTCTCTCACTGCCTGTGCAGCGCTGTACAAATAGTAATCGGCTACTGGGTGCAGGCTAACACTGTGGGCTCTGTAGCAATGGAGGCAGCATACAGACAACGTGTGCTTACACACACACAAACAAAAGTTCAGATTACTTTTGCACATGTACTTTTTACCCCAGATATCACATTTTTTTATTGCTGCAATATTGATTTCACATGGCTCCCCTTCCTTTTTTTTTTTAGGAAAGCAAAGTTTAAAAAAATAAAAGTTTGATGGTAAATTGGCATGTATATATTATTTTTATTATTATGTATTGTTATTGAAAAAAAATAATCAAAACTATTTGAAAGAATGCAAAAAAAAAAAAAAAAACAATGGGCATGTACTGGCTGTTTTGTCTTATGACCTGGTATATAATTAAACAAAGTATAATATCACTTTAGGGTGGGCATGAGTTTAATTAAAAACAGGATTATAAATTCAGGTCAAGATGTATAAATGAGTTGAAGAATGTTTACAGATCAGAGGTTATAAATTCAGAAAAAAAATCTAATTCTAGTGAACAAACACTGTTTTGATCCTCTGTATGTTCTAAAAAAAACAAGGACACAGTTTGGAAAGTTTTTACACACAGTAGTGTGAATTGTTCAGAATTTTAAGATTTGCCCTATCATATTGTGTAGGGTTATTTATTGAAGACAGGAGGCTGGTATTACGCTTTACTCTCTTTACAACTCCAAACAGCAGCAAAGAGTTTACTTACAAGTTTCAGTTAAAGGGACACTATAGTCACCCAGACTACTTCAGCTCAAGGAAGTGGTCTGGGTGCCAGGTCCCCCAGGTTTTAACCCTTCAGATATAAACATAGCAGTTTCAGAGAAACTGCTATGTTTACATTGCAGGGTTAATCCAGCCTCTAGTGGCTGTCTCCCTGACAGCCGCTAGAGGCCCTTCTGCGACGCTGGACGTGAAAATCGTATTAATTGAGAAATGCTTTCCTATGGACTGTTTGAATGCGCGCGTGGCTCTAGCTGCGCATGCGCATTCCGTTCCACTCGGGAGCTGACATCGGCGAGGGACATCGGCGCTGGATTAAAGTGAGTAGCTAAAGGGGTTTTAACCGCTTCAGCGCCAAGGGAGGGGGGCCCTGAGGGTGGGGGGATCCTAAGGAGTATATAGTGTCAAGAAAACAAGTTTGTTTTCCTGACACTATAGTGATCCTTTAATTAGAAAAAAATGAACAGGTACCACCAAACATAGAATACAGGTAACCTGTAAGCCTGCAGCATAGATGTTGTGGAAATAAGGTCTACACATATTTCCTAGTTAGTGAAAAATGTCTATTTACTCATTTCACGATATATATATATATAGCTAAGCACACACATTATAATTAAGATGGCTGCTGGAAGCTTCTAGCTCCTTTCCCCCCCCCTTCCCTTTCTCCTTCCTAACATCGACTAACTACCTCGTGCACCAAGATGGCGCCGGGAAACCGTGGGAGACCCTCATGGCCCCGGTGACATCACCTACAGTAGGCAGAGCATTGAAGCAACCACTTAACACCTAACCAATTATTGATGTATTATTCCATGTTATCTCTGACAATGCTTATGATGTAATTTTGCTTTAAAAGGGACTTGCCGTCCCCTCTGAATAAACTTTCCTCAAGTTATTCAACAACCTGGAACCTGTGTCTGGTGTGAATTACTTCAGGGAGCGTGCACGCATTGTTTCATTGATTTGGCCAGGGGCAGATACACAAAGAAATAATCAATACTTTAATTGATTTTTCCACTTCAATAGATAATCAGGGTGTTGTAGTGGATGTGGTCTATTTGGATTTTGCCAAGGCGTTTGATACAGTTCCACACAATAGATACAACATTGGCTTAAAATAGAGTACAGAGAGTTGTCATTAAAGGACCACTATAGTGCCAGGAAAACATACTAGTTTTCCTAGCACTATAGTGCCCTGAGGGTGCCCCTCCCGTGGCGCTGAGGCGGGAGGAAGGGGTTAATCCCTTACCTTTTTTCCAGCGCCGGGCTCCCTTGGCGCTGGGACTCTCCTCCCTATTCTTCCGTCAGCGGCTGAATGCACATGCGCGGCAAGAGCCGCATGCGCATTCAGCCAGTTCTATGGTCGCTCGGGTCTTCTCACTGTGAAAATCACAGTGAGAAGCGCGGAAGCGCCTCTAGCGCTGTCAATGAGACAGCCACTAGAGGCTGGATTAACCCATAGGTAAACATAGCAGTTTCTCTGAAACTTCTATGTTTACTGCAAAAAGGGTTAAACTTAGCTGGACCTGGCACCCAGACCACTTCATTAAGCTGAAGTGTTCTGGGTGCCTATAGTGGTCCTTTAACCCCTTAGTGACCAGACTGTTTTTCATTTTTCCTACTGTTAAGGACCAGGGCTGTTTTTAAATTTTTGTGGTGTTTGTGTTTAGCCGTAATTGTCCTCTTACTCATTTACTGTATCCACACATACAGGGAGTGCAGAATTATTAGGCAAGTTGTATTTTTGAGGATTAATTTTATTATTGAACAACAACCATGTTCTAAATGAACCCAAAAAACTCATTAATATCAAAGCTGAATATTTTTGGAAGTAGTTTTTAGTTTGTTTTTAGTTATAGCTATGTTAGGGGGATATCTGTGTGTGCAGGTGACTATTACTGTGCATAATTATTAGGCAACTTAACAAAAACAAATATATACCCATTTCAATTATTTATTATTACCAGTGAAACCAATATAACATCTCAACATTCACAAATATACATTTCTGACATTCAAAAACAAAACAAAAACAAATCAGTGACCAATATAGCCACCTTTCTTTGCAAGGACACTCAAAAGCCTGCCATCCATGGATTCTGTCAGTGTTTTGATCTGTTCACCATCAACATTGCGTGCAGCAGCAACCACAGCCTCCCAGACACTGTTCAGAGAGGTGTACTGTTTTCCCTCCTTGTAAATCTCACATTTGATGATGGACCACGGGTTCTCAATGGGGTTCAGATCAGGTGAACAAGGAGGCCATGTCATTAGATTTTCTTCTTTTATACCCTTTCTTGCCAGCCACGCTGTGGAGTACTTGGACGCGTGTGATGGAGCATTGTCCTGCATGAAAATCATGTTTCTTGAAGGATGCAGACTTCTTCCTGTACCACTGCTTGAAGAAGGTGTCTTCCAGGAACTGGCAGTAGGACTGGGAGTTGAGCTTGACTCCATCCTCAACCCGAAAAGGCCCCACAAGCTCATCTTTGATGATACCAGCCCAAACCAGTACTCCACCTCCACCTTGCTGGCATCTGAGTTGGACTGGAGCTCTCTGCCCTTTACCAATCCAGCCACTGGCCCATCCATCTGGCCCATCAAGACTCACTCTCATTTCATCAGTCCATAAAACCTTAGAAAAATCAGTCTTGAGATATTTCTTGGCCCAGTCTTGGCGTTTCAGCTTGTGTGTCTTGTTCAGTGGTGGTCGTCTTTCAGCCTTTCTTACCTTGGCCATGTCTCTGAGTATTGCACACCTTGTGCTTTTGGGCACTCCAGTGATGTTGCAGCTCTGAAATATGGGCAAACTGGTGGCAAGTGGCATCGTGGCAGCTGCACGCTTGACTTTTCTCAGTTCATGGGCAGTTATTTTGCGCCTTGGTTTTTCCACACGCTTCTTGCGACCCTGTTGACTATTTTGAATGAAACGCTTGATTGTTCGATGATCGCGCTTCAGAAGCTTTGCAATTTTAAGAGTGCTGCATCCCTCTGCAAAATATCTCACTATTTTTTACTTTTCTGAGCCTGTCAAGTCCTTCTTTTGACCCATTTTGCCAAAGGAAAGGAAGTTGCCTAATAATTATGCACACCTGATATAGGATGTTGATGTCATTAGACCATACCCCTTCTCATTACAGAGATGCACATCACCTAATATGCTTAATTGGTAGTAGGCTTTCGAGCCTATACAGCTTGGAGTAAGACAACATGCATAAAGAGGATGATGTGGTCAAAATACTCATTTGCCTAATAATTCTGCACTTCCTGTATTATATACAGTTTTACTCGCCATTAAATGGTCTTTCTAAAGATACCATTATTTTCATCATATCATATAATCTACTATAAAAAAATTATAAAATATGATGACATTTTTAAAAAAACAAACACTTTTTCTACCCAATGTTAACATGTTCTTAGCTTTTTTTTGCAAGTTATGGGGCTATAAGTACAAGTAGGACGTTGCTGTTTCAAAATATATATTTTTTAAATCTATCAATAGTGACATTGTAACAGTGTTATTCTTTTATAAATCTCGGAATCACACCTCACATGTACATATTTTTTTAAAGTAGACTACCCAGGTTATGCCATATGGGGTTTGTCCAGTCTTTTTTAGTATCCACTTAATCACAAACACTGGCTAAAGTTAGCCTTTATATTTGTTTGTGTATTAAAAATGCAAAAAACAATTATGAACGCTAACTTTAGTGTTTGTGACTAAGTGGCTACTAAAAAAGACTGAACATACCCTTTTTGCAATACCTTGGGTGGTCTTCTTTTGCAAATGATATGCTATCATAGGGGTAATTCTCATTCCTGTGCCACCATATGCTCTCACAGGCAACATCTAGAAAATGTCAATGTGAAAAAAGGAAAATCAAGCCTTATATTTGACCCTGTAACCAGTGGCGTACATACCAGGGTCGCAGGGGCCGCCCCTGCGACCCGGTATGTAGCCACAGGGCCAGCCTCTTCACCTGGGGGGCCCAGGAGCCGACCACCCCAGGGCCCCCCGAGGCTGGCTCTGCTGTCAACGGGCAGGCGGGTGGGCAGGCGGGCACGTGAGGGAGCACTCAGTGCTTCCTCTTCAGCTCCCTCGCGCACCGCACTGATACCGGAGCCGGAAGATGAAG